ATGCTGCATGTGACCACTTCTATCTGCTGCTGCCTCTCTCATCCACACCTCTGGCTTGTCTTACCTGGAGTGCTGCCTTATAACCAGGATCCCTGTTTTGACCAGAGTTCTCCTATTAACTGTTCTCAACAAAGAGGCCAGAGACACCTTTTTAAAAACACTAAGTTGAATCTCATTAGTACTCTGTTCAACCTGCAAAGATTCCCATTTTATTCAGAGTAAAAGACAGTCCTTACGATCCCCATCAAAGCGTGACATGACTCTGCTCCCTCTTGGACCTCAACTCTCCGCCTTTGCCTTTGCTGAAATTCGCTCCAGCCTCACTGACTTTTCCTGCTGCTCTAAACATGCCATGCATATTCCTCTCTGGAATGCTGTTCCTTTGGAGATAAGCATGGCTCTCTTCCACCTCTTTCAGCTCTCTAAGTATCTTATCAGTGAGGCTTTTCTCAACCACCTTATAAAAAGCAATCACTTCCCACTCCCAAGGAACTGTTTTCCCCTCACAGTAATTGTCACCATTTGACATATATATTTTATTTTATTTATTATTATTATTATTATTATTTGAGACGGAGTCTCACTCTGTCGCCCAGGCTGGAGTGCAGTGGCACGATCTCGGCTCACTGAAACCTTAGACTCCCAGGTTCAAGCGATTTCTGGCTAATTTTTGTATTTTTAGTAGAGATGGGGTTTCGCCATATTACCCAGGCTGGTCTCGAACTCCTGACCTCGGCCTCCCAAAGTGCTAGGGTTACAGGCATGAGCCACCATGCCTGGCCTTGACACATATATTTTAGTGTCCATCTTTTCCTGCAATAAAGTATAAAATTATGAGGGTAATGTGTTCAGTTCACTGCTTTATTCCCAGTACTTAAACCACACTGGCAGGCAAATAGTTGATGATCAATACATATTTTTTGAATGAATGTGACATTTTCTAATAGAATTAGGAAATGGATACTTGTGGGACGGGTAAATAGTGGAAGTTGGCTGGGCACGATGGCTCACACCTGTAATCCCAGCACTTTGAGAGGCTGAGGTGGGCAGATCACAAGGTCAGGAGATCGAGACTATCCTGGCTAACACGGTGAAACCCCGTCTCTACTAAAAATACAAAAATTAGCCGGGCGTGGTGGCGGGCACCTGTAGTCCCAGCTACTTGGGAGGCTGAGGCAGGAGAATGGCGTGAACCTGGGAGTCGGAGCTTGTAGTGAGCCGAGATCGCGCCACTACACTCCAGCCTGGGCAACAGAGCAAGACTCCATGTCAAAAAACAAAAACAACAACAACAACAACAACAAAATATATATATATAGTGGGAGTCATGGCCAAAAATAGTTTAGAATGGATCATTTACTGCAATGGTTTTCAAGCACTTTTCTTTCTTTTTTTTTTTGTTTTTTCAGAATCAGGGTCTCACTCTTGCCCAGGCTGGAGTGCAGTGGCACAATCACAGCTCACTGCAACCTCAGAACTCTGAGCTCAAGCAATCCTGTTTTACCTCAGCATTCCCAAGTAGCTGGGACTACAGGTGCGTGCCATTGTGCCCAGCTAATTTAACTTTTTTCTTTTTCTTTGAGACAGGGTCTCACCCTGTCACCCAGGCTGGTGTGCAGTGGCACTATCACAGCTCACTGCAGCCTTGACTTCCTGGGCTCAAGCAATCCTCCCACCTCAGCCTCCTGAATAGCTGGGACTACAAGCACATGCCATGACTTCCAGCTAATTTTTAAATTTTTTTGTAGAAATGGGGTCTCCCTGTGTTGCCCAGGCTGGCCTCGAACTCCTGAGCTCAAGTGATCCGCCCACCTTGACCTCCCAAAGTACTGGGATTACAGGCATAAGCCACCATGCCCAGTCCAGCATATATATATATATATTTTAAACTGGAACTCATTTTTTAAATGGAAGCACAATTTGAAAAAGGAATAAAACCCAAAGATTGACACAGGGCTAGAAAACCAGAAATCCCCAGTTCAGTTTCTTCCCCTTATTCTCCCCTTTGAACTCATGATGCATCTCAAAGCCCAGCTTGAAAGCCACAGATCTAGAGCTTGGATGGCATTCTAATGAGCTAAGCATCTAAACCGACAACAGTTGGGAGCCACTGAAAGCTTTTGAGCAGGTAAATGATAGATTTATTTATTTATTCATTTTGAGACAGAGTCTTGCTCTGTCACCCAGGCTGGAGTATAGTGGCGCGATCTCAGCTCACTGCAGCCTCTGCCTCCTGGGTTCAAGTGATTCTCCTGGCTCAGCCTCTGGAGTAGCTGGGATTACAGGCATGCGCCACCACACCTGGCTAATTTTTCTATATTTAGTAGAGACGGGTTGGTCAGGGTGGTCTCGAACTCCTGACCTCAGGTGATCCGCCTGCCTCCACCTCCCAAAGTGCTGGGATTACAGGTGTGAGCCACTGCACCCAGCCTAAATGATATATTTAGATACATGCTTCAGGAAGATTAGTCTTTTTTTTTTTTTTTTTTTTTGAGACGGAGTCTCGCTCTGTCACCCAGGCTGGAGTGCAGTGGCCGGATCTCAGCTCACTGCAAGCTCCGCCTCCAGGTCACGCCATTCTCCTGCCTCAGCCTCCCGAGTAGCTGGGACTACAGGCGCCCGCCACCTCGCCCGGCTAGTTTTTTGTATTTCTTAATAGAGACGAGGTTTCACCGTGTTAGCCAGGATGGTCTCGATCTCCTGACCTCGTGATCCGCCCGTCTCGGCCTCCCAAAGTGCTGGGATTACAGGCTTGAGCCACCGCGCCCGGCCTAGGAAGATTAGTCTTAAGAGAATGGGTAGACTGATGGCAGAAGGAGATGGCAAACAGTAGGAGGACCAAAGAAAAGACTGCTGCAATAGGCAAGCTAATACTTAAAGTACCGAAGGAGGGGCCGGGGGAGAGCAGTGAGAATGCAAAGAACAGAAAAATGGAGACAGCTGTCTAGGATCTGTCACTTCCCAGAAGGAAGAGGACGTTCACAGTAAAATCTGTCAGTTTCATGCCTTAGCGACTGGTGAATTTAGTGAATGCACAGGAGGTGAAAGGCTGGGAGAGGAAGCAAATACCACCACTTCAGATTTAGACAGGGTCTGAGGTATGAAAAAGGTACATACAACTGTCCTACAAACAGATGAAATGCAGTCCTCACATGATATGCCCTGTTAGGAGCCTTTAGGAGCCATCTGAACAACCCTGTTCATTGAGATGGTATAGAAGAGCAAGAACTCCAAATATGTCCAGAACAGACAGGCCGGGTGCAGTGGCTCATGCCTGTAATCCCAACACTTTGGAAGGCAGAGGTGGGAGGATAGCTTGAGGTTTGGAGTTGGAGACCAGCCTGAGCAACGTAGCAAGACTGCTTCTACAGAAAATGTTTAAAAATTAGGTGGGCGTGGTGGGGGCCTGTAGTCCCAGCTATGCAGAAGCTGAGGTCGGAGGGTCGCTTGAGCCCAGGAGTTCGATGCTGCCGTGAGCTATGATCATGCCACTGCACTCCAGCCTGGGCAACATAGGGACACCCGATTTTCACAAAAAAAAAAAACTTTAAAAATTAGCCAGGTGTGGTCAGCTGTGCACACCTGTGCACTCTTGAGTCCAGGAGTTGGAGGCTGCAGTGAGCCATGATAGCACCACCGCACTCCCAGCCTGGGTGACAGAGACAGAGATCTCTCTCTCTCTCTCCTCTCTCTCGTCTCTTTCTCTCTCTAGAAAGAGTCTTTATTAATTTATTTATTTAAGACAGAGTCTCACTCTGTCACCCAGGCTGGAGTGCAGTGGCATGTTCTCTACTCACAACTGCTGCCTCCCGGGTTCAAGCAATTCTCATGCCTCAGCTCCATGTAGCTGGGACTACAGGTGCATGCCACCATGCCCAGCTAATTTTGGTATTTTTAGTAGAGACGGGTCTCACTCTGTTGGCCAGGCTGGTCTGGAACTCCTGACCTCGGGTGATCCGCCCGCCTCTGCCTCCCGAAGTGCTGGGATTACAGGAGTGAGCCACCACGTCCCGCTGAGACCTTATCTCTTAAAAAAAAAAAAAAAAAAAAAAGAGACCGGGCGCGGTGGCTCACGCCTGTAATCCCAGCACTCTGGGAGGCCCAGGCGGGCGGATCATGAGGTCAGGAGATGGAGACCATCTTGGCTAACACGGTGGAACCCGTCTCTACTAAAAATACAAAAAATTAGCCGGGCGAGCTGGCGGGCGCCTGTAGTCCCAGCTGCTCGGGAGGCTGACGCAGGAGAATGGCGTGAACCCCAGAGGCGGAGCTTGCAGTGAGCCGAGATCGCACCACTGCAGTACAGCCTGGGCGACAGAGTGAGACTCCGTCTCAAAAAAAAAAAAGAAAGAAAGAAAAAAGACAAAACGGGGGTGCGGGGAGGGGGCAACACAGAACAGAAACAGAACCTTGGGGAACAGAGACACAGCGCTGAGTTGAGCAGAAACCAGGGCAGGAGCACCAGGCAGGGACGCAAGACTCGGCTCCATCGAAGGAGTGGGATCCTGGGACCCAAGAGAGCGGGAGCACAGGGAGCAGGGATGAAGATGGCGAAAGCACGACCTGCCAGGGCACTTGCTGAGGAGCCACACTCCACACCTACCACGCGCTAGAACTGCCTTTTAATTGTCACGTGCTTGCCAAAACTCAAGACAACGACGCACAATGCTGGAGGTTGGAAGCCGAGGATGACCTGCCCAGGGCCGAACTCGGGGAATGCAAGAGGCCTAGTCGGCCCCAGGGCGCGGAAGGGACTCACCCGACCAGGCCATGTCCAGACGGGGGCCCCAGGGGGCGGTGGCCAGACCACGGCCGTAGCAAGTGTCCCCCCAAGGCGGCTGCGACTTATGAGGCCTCTACTTGCACCAGTCTGGGCCACGAGGACCCGTTCCCAACCTCCCTAAGCCGCCTGGCCGCAGCTCTGTCGGGCGCGAGGACCCCGGGCAGGCGGAAACCTCGTGGTCCCGACGTGCACCGCGCACACCTGCGTCACTGAGGGGCGACTCCCACGACAGAGGCACGAGGTGGCTGGTTGCCGGGCAACGAGGCATGGCTGCTCCCTGCTCTCATCCGGCTCCCAGAATCTTAGATTGAGGGCGGGAAGAACAAGTAGGTTGGGTCCTGCCTTCCTCTTTCACCTTTCAGACTGGGGGAATCCAATCCAATCACCCTTGTGTACAAGAGTGGGAATCTAACTCGGCCCCAGGTGGCCCGCACCCCCAAAAGGTATTCAGTGCTTCCAAGGCTGTGGCTCCTTACGAGCCCCAATCCCTAGTCAGATTTGACCCTTGCTGGTGCCAGGTTTTCCTGGGACCTCCGGGAACAGCAGCTCCGTACACAGTTGGCGATTTTCCACGGTGAGACGTTGGTGGTTGATTTTTGTTTAGTTCTTTGAAAGTTACTCAGATCGTTCTGAAGACTGCCTGGAAAACTGCACATTTAGACTGAAACCAAAACTCATGGGCACTTTGTCTATTTTTTTTTTTAACAGTTGCTAAGGGGTTTCCCCCGTCACAATCATTCTGTCACAGTCTGGCCAAAACTGAACAGCTAAAGCCTGTTCTACTAGTCTGAGCATTAGAGAACCCCATTGGTGGGTTTCAAACTCTGGAGTTCCTCTGTCTATTGCAAACTAACTGATTCTGGCACCTCTCCACGGCTTTCTTTTCTTTTTTTTCTAGACTGAGTTTCACTCTTGTTGCCCAGGCTGGAGCGCAATGGCGTGATCAGGCTGCTCCCTGGTTATAAATTCTCACTTGCTCACACTGTACTTGGAGTTGACCCCAATCTCTTCCCTACTGCAAGACCCTTTGCAGTCATCCCTATATCTATCTCGATTGACCCCCCCCTCCGTTGAATAAAGTCTTCCATGCCGTCTTTAACAACTGTCATTGAATAATTTTTTTCTTTTCTTTTTTTTAAGACGGAGTCTTGCTCTGTCACCCAGCCTGGAGTGCAGTGGCGCGATCTCAGCTCACTGCAACCCCCGCCTCCCGGGTTCAAGCGATTCTCCTGCCTCAGCCTACTGAGTAGCTGGGACTACAGGCATGCGCCACCATGCCCGGCTGATTTTTGTATTTTTAGTAGAGACGGGTTTCCCCATGTTGGCAAGGCTGGTCTCGAACTCCTGACCTCAAGTGATCCTCTTGCCTTGGCCTTGTAAAGTGCTGGGATTACAGGTGTGAGCCACCATGCCCAGTTGACCCCGGTGATTTTTAACATTCAACCCAGTGATTTTTCGCTCTGCCCTTTTTGCCAGTCTTCATTCCTTGCTAAAACAGGCCATGTGTCTTCTCCATTCTGGATGTAGGGATTCTAAACATTGCTGGTGAAAAGCAAGGACTCCCTGACAAATGCATGCTTTCTCAGCGGCATTGTGCTCCTAGTGTGGATTAGAAATTCATTCATTCATCCTTGTGGCCTTGCTGTCATATGGCCTATAACATTTCCCCAGCTTCCTATAGTATGCAACAAACTTTCAACTCCACCCTACTCCAATTTTACTAAATGGTCTCACCTACATCTATTTTGCACCTGTATATTTTGTATACATTTGTTTTTTCTTTGAGACAGAGTCTCACTCTGTTGCCCAGGCTGGAGTGCGGTGGTGCTATCTGAGCTCACTGCAACCTCTGCCTCCTGGTTCAAGTGATTCTCCTGCCTCAGCCTCTTAAGTACTTGGGATCACAGGCACGTGCCACCATGCCCAGCTAATTTTTAGATTTTAGTGGAGATGGGGTTTTGCCATGTTGGCCAGGCTGGTCTTGAACTCCTGACCTCAAGTAATCTGCCCACTTTGGCCTCCCAAAGTTCTGGGATTACAGGTGTGAGCCACTGTGCCAGGTTTTTTTTTTTTTTTTTGAAACAAGGTTTCACTCTGTCACCCAGGATCATGGCTCACTGTAGCCTCCACCTCATGGCCTCAAGCGATCCTCCTGCTTCAGCCTCCTGAGTAGTTGGGGCTACAGGCATGTACCACCATGCCCAGCTAATTTTGGTTTTAATCTTTGTAGAGATGAGGGTCTCCCACATTTGCTTGTAACGGGCATCCAGAAGAACTTTGCACAGGGCCTTTGCACGTGCTGCAACTCCCCTGGGAGTCAGCATTGCCTCCCTCATTGTCTGTATGAGGCCTCCCCATCCTCTGTATCTCAGCTGTCACTTTGTCATGGCAGCTTTCCTACGATCCCTCCTGATTTGCTTATTTGACACTCGTGCTTCATTCCTGAAACAGTCTTCCCTTGGTTTTCAAATATCACATTCTCCTGATTTTTCCCCAAACTCTCCAGCTTGAGTTCAGCCTAATGAACTTGGCTATTTATTTATTTGAGACAGGCTCTAGCCCTGTCACCCAGGCTGGAGTGCAGTGGTGCGATCATAGCTCACTACAGCCTCAAAATCCTGGGCTCAAGTGATCCACTCACCTCAGCCTCCTATGTAGCTGGGACTACAGGTGTGCACCACCACACCTGGCTATTTATTATGTTTTGTAGAGATGTGGTTTCCCTATGTTGCCCAGGCTGGTCTTGAACTTTTGGACTCAAGTGATCTACCCACCTGAGCCTCCCAAAGTGCTGAGATTATAGGTGTGAGCCACTGTGCTCAGCCAATTTCTGTTCTTTATAAATTACCAGGTCTCAGGTACTATTAACGCAGTACAAATGGACTAAGAAACTGACCGTAGTAAAAATACATTAAACTAGGTTATTTTATTTTTTTATTTTTATTATCATTTTTTTTGATATAGAGTATCACTCTGTCACCCAGGCTGGAGTGCAGTGGCGCGATCTCAGCTCACTGCAACCTCTGCCGCCTGGGTTAAAGCAGTTCTTCTCCTGCCTCAGCTTCCCAAGTAGCTGGGATTACAGAAACCAACCACCACGCCCAGCTAATTTTTGTATTTTTAGTAGAGATGGGGTTTCGCCATGTTGGCCAGGCTGGTCTTGAACTCCTGACCTCAGGTGATCTGCCCGCCTCGGCCTCCCAGAGTTCTGAGATTACAGGCATGAGCCACTGCGCCCAGCCTAAAGTTGGTTATTTAATTAATTTATTTGTTTTGAGATGGAGTTTCGTTCTTGTTGCCCAGGCTGGAGTGCAATGGCGCGATCTTGGCTCACTGCAACCTCTGCCTCCCGAATTCAAGCAATTCTCCTGCCTCAGTCTTCCGAGTAGCTGGGATTACAGGCATGCGCCACTACACCCAGCTAAATTTGTATTTTTAGTAGAGGTGGGGGGGGGTTTCTCCACGTTGGTCAGGCTGGTCTTGAACTCCTAACCTCAGGTGATCCGCCTGCCTTGGCCTCCCAAAGGGCTGGGATTACAGGCGTGAGCCACCGTGCCTGGCCTTGGTTATTTTAAATACAGAAAATCCTCAAGGCTTCATTATAGACCCTTTTCTTTTCTTGTACTCTTTCCTATTGTTATGGCTTTAGGTACCATTCAATTCCCATGACCTCTGACTTCTGAGTTAAACTTTGCATCTTCATGAGAATGTTTCAAAGGCAACTCAGCTGAGGCCAGGTTTGGTAGCTCACACCTAAAATTCCAGCACTTTGGGAGGCAGAGGCAGGATGATTGCTTGAGGCCAGGATCTGGAGGTTGCAGTGAGCTATGACTGGGCCACTGCACTCCAGCCTGGGTGACAGCGGAAGATCTCTTGTCCCAGCCTTTAAAAAAAAAAAAAAAAGGCAATTCAGGCTGGGCGTGGTGGCTCATGCCTACAATCTCAGTACTTTGGGAGGCCAAGGTGGGAGGATCACTTGAGGTCAGGAATTCGAAGCCAGCTTGGCCAACATGGTGAAACCTGGTCTCTACTAAAAATACAAAAAATTAGCCGAGTGTGGTGGTGGGCGCTTGTAATGCCAACTCCTAGGAGGCTGAGGCAGAATTGCTTGAACCCTGGAGGTGAAGGTTGCAGTGAGCTGAGATTTTGCCACTATACTCCAACCTGGGTGACAGAGCGAGACTCTGTCTCAAAAAAAAAAAAAAAAAAAAAGGCAATTTGCCGAGCCTGACCTTCTTCCAGGTAGATGGCGCCACTAATTTCACAATCCAGAAACCCAGGACCCCTCCCTAAAAGCTCCTTCCCTAGCCCCGCTCTATGTAACCCAAAGCCTGTCTGTCCATGTCCATTTTACCTGCCATGTGTCTCTTTGGCCTGCCATTTCTCCTGTCTCTCCTGCCACTACCCTGTCTCACATGCCATCACCCTTTGCCTGGACTATGACAATAGCTTCCTTGTTGGCTTTCCCCATCTACTCTGGCTCCATGCCACTCTGTCCTCCATACTGCAACCAGAATGGTCTTTTCATAATGCAAATCTCATCATGTCGCCCCTTTGCCTAAAGCCAATCAGCCGCTTTCCATTGTCTGCACAATTGAGTAGAACTTTTATTTTTTATTTTTTTGAGAGGGAGGCTTGCTCCGTTGCCCGGGTTGGAGTGCAGTGGCATGATCTTGGCTGCCTGCAACCTCTGCCTCCCAGGTTCAAGCGATTCTCGTGCCTCAGCCTCCCGAGTAGCTGGGATTACAGGTGTCTGTTGCCACACCCAGCTAATTTTTGTATTTTTAGTAGAGATGGGGTTTCACCATGTTGGCCAGGCCAGTCTCGAACTCCTGACCTCAAGTGATCCTCCGCGTTGGCCTCCCAAAGTGCTGGGATTACAGGCATGAGCCACTGTGCCCAGCCTAGTAGAGCTTTTAAAGGACAGTTCAAGATGCTTTTTTTTGGCGGTTTTTTAAAGACAACGTCTGGCTCTGTCACCCAGGCTGGAGTATGCAGTGGCGCCATCATAGCTCACTGCAACCTCTGCCTCCTGGGCTCAAGCAATCCTCCTGCCTCAGTCTCCCAAGTACCTGGGAATACAGACACGTGCCACCACACCCAGTTAATTTTTTGTATTTTTTGCAGTGATAGGGTTTCTCCATGTTGCCCAGGCTGGTCTTGAATTCTTGGACTCAAGGGATCCACCTGCTTGGGCCTCCTAAAGTGCTGGGATTACAGGCATGAGCCACCTTGCCTGGCCTATGCTTTAAATGGAGCAGGCTCACCTTGGCATTTTGCCACTGGGAGCAGAAAAGACCAGCTGCAGGCCAGTGTCCCCGTCTTTGGTATTTATCCAGATCACCTTCCCACTGAGCAAGGTGATCCCACTGGTTCTTTGATCTCCTTAGAGATGCTAGCTTCTGATTACCTGCCTCATTCTCTCCTTACGTGATGAGTCATTTGGGCCAATTTTCCTGCTTTCCAAGCCCAGCCTTTCCCGATCTGTGTATCCCCTGTAGGTCCCCTGGCTTAACACACTGGCAGTATTAGGTTGCAGCCAATTGTGCTGTGGAAAGGTCGCTCTGCAGCCCAGCCCGGCTCTGTTAGCTCCCTCTGTCAATCCTCTGCTAGCTGTGACTGGCTTGCTCTGAGTCCCTTTATGACCAGTAGCTTCTGTCTCTGAGTAGAATTGGTCACATCTCATTTTAAGGTAACAGGTTAATTTGCATCGCAAGGGTGCAGAGGGAGGAGCCACAGCCTGAACCCCCAGATTTTATGAGACCTGATCTATATGATAGTTTTTTTATTATTATTATTAGTATATATTTTTATACAGGGTCTCTGTCACCCAGGCTGGAGTGCAGTAGCACAATCATGGCTTATTCCTCGACCTCCCCAGGGGCTCACATGATTCTCCCATCTCACCCTCCCTAGAAGCTGGGGCTACAAGTGCACACCACCATGCCCAGGATTTTTTATTTTTTTTATTTTTTTTTTATAGAGACAGGGTTTTGTCATGTTGCCCAGGCTGGTCTCAAACGCCTTGCCTCAAGTGATCCTCCCGCCTCGGCCTCCCAAAGTGCTGGGATTACAGGCATGAGCCACCGCACCCGGCCTTATTTATTTATTTTTTTAAGAGATAGGGTCTTGTTCTGTTGCCCAGGGTGGAGTACAATGGTGTGATCACTGCAGCCTCAACCTTCTGGACTGAAGTGATCCTCCTGACTCAGCCTCACAAGTAGCTGAGACTATAGGCATATGCTACAACGCCCAGTTAATTTTGTTGTTGATGGGGTCTTGCTATGTTGCCCAGGCTGCTCTTAAACTCCTGTACTCAAGTGATCCTCCCACCACAGCCTCCCAAAGTGCTGGGACTACAGGCATGAGCCACCATGTCCAGTGTCAAACTAGTATTTCTTTTTTTTCCCCTTTTTGTGAAGAACAGCATCTCACTATATTGTCCAGACAGGTCTCCTAACTCCTGGGCTCAAGCTATCCTCCTGCCTCTGCCTCCCTAAGAGCTGGGATTATGGGTGTGAGCCACCACACCCGGCTCAAACTAATATTTCTAAGACACATTCCCAGAGGTGTGGGGCTAAGTGGATTCCATGAACCCCAGCATACAAATGCAGGCTTCTCACTGGAACCTATACCTCAGAGCCACGCTGGCCGGTCAATCACCACCATGCTCCATTGCCAGGCGGAAATATTTATTTGAAAAATTGAAAACACAGATGCAATGTATTATACAAAGAAAGGTCTTAATACCATAATAAAAGTATTGTTGGAGGGAAACAGAAGCCAGTGGCCACCTGCCCTGGGAAGGTAGGCACTCAGTGAAAAATGAAATTCATTTCAAGGAACTACCCTACTGGAAACCCGGGGGAAAGGGTAAACACAGAAGAGAAGAAAAACAAACCCAACCCTACCCCTGCAAACCGAAATGTGAAAGAGTTTGTTATCAGTTTGAGACAATTGCATTATCACCAAGATGTAACCGAACCCCCCTCGGTTTGCCCCTGTGAGTGGTAATCAGTTTCATTTAGGGCCTTCAAACCTGAGGTAGTTGAGGGTCACCTGAAAGACATGTCTGGAAAAATCTACTCTCAGAATCGAACCCAACAGCATTGAATTGTTTCCTGTTGCTTTGGCTCCTGACAACACCACGGTGTGGTGCTGATGTTGTGTTTGGTCTGGACCTGGGAGAGGAAGGAATTTGGCAGCAAACAGTCGGCCTGGTTTGCTGCGTCGATGGCTGGCAGGTCCGTGGTGGTGTTTTTCTATGCTACAGGTGGTACCGTCTCTGGAGGACAAGGATGGCAGAGAGAGGGCAAAGCCAGTTTGCTTGGAAAGCCAATGTTGGAACTGGAGGCTTTCCCTGGCAGGACTTCCAGAGATTTGGAAAGGTGGTAGAAGGTAGCAAGATACTGACCAGTTATTAAAGACCAGGGTCAAGTGGAGCCAGGAGACCCCTCTAGACTAAGGAGCTAAGAAAGAGCTTCCAGGTGCAAGCTGAGAACTAGCTCCTCCACAGGGTCGAGGGACCAAAGCCAACTAATCTGACCAGAGCGACATGTACCTGTGATCCCCGTGTTACCTGGTGGCAGAAACCTTGGTGTCTGACTTGGTAGCTGGGACAGTTCCAAGAAAAGTTGCTCTAGACAGTGGTTCTTCCAGTCACTGGGTTAGAGGGACCCATATTCTGGTGGGATTTTAGGGGTACTGCTATGGACGGCCGCATCAGCAAACAATCTAAACTAGTCTCATTGAAACTCCTTGCTCAGATATAAAATAACCCTGCCAAGGTGGCTCTTCTCTTCTGTTTCTTTCTCTCTCTCTCTTTTTTTTTTTTTTTGAGACGGAGTCTCACTCTGTCACCCAGGCTGCAGTACAGCCGTGTGATCTTGGCTCACTGCAACCTCCGTCCCCTAGGTTCAAGCAATTCTCCTGCCTCTGCCTCCCCAGTAGCTGGGATTACAGGTGCCCACCACCACACCCGACTAATTTTTGTATTTTTAGTAGAGACGGGGTTTCACCATGGTGGCCAGGCTAGTATTGAACTCCTGACCTCAGGTGATCCACCCACCCCTGCCTCCCAAAGTGTTGGGATTACAGGAGTGAGGCACCACATCCGGCCTCTTTCTCTTATGTAAACAAACATCTTTTCTCTAGAGGTCTTAGGGCACTGTCTTACAAACTTAAGTAACAGATGCTGTTTTTCAACTTCTTATTGATCCTAAGCCATTATTTTGTTGCTCTCTCATCTTGTCATGACCCATTTACACTCACCCGAGACTTGTCACTAGTGATGCTCAGTGACTCATTTAAAAGGCTGGCAGGTTCATTTTTAGCTTTAAGATGTGATTCCCGTTTTAATCCAAGGTGTGTCACTAAATACCTCTTCATCTTCATTTTTAGAAGAGTCACAATAGGAAAATTTGATTTTGTCTAGAGAATGGGGTAGCCGTTCTAATCTGAGCTATTTTTTTTTTTTTTTTTTGAGACGGAGTCTCGCTCTGTCGCCCAGGCTGGAGTGCAGTGGCCAGATCTCAGCTCACTGCAAGCTCCGCCTCCCGGGTTTACACCATTCTCCTGCCTCAGCCTCCCGAGTAGCTGGGACTACAGGCGCCCACCACCTCGCCCGGCTAGTTTTTTGGATTTTTTAGTAGAGACGGGGTTTCACCGTGTTAGCCAGGATGGTCTCGATCTCCTGACCTCGTGATCCGCCCGTCTCGGCCTCCCAAAGTGCTGGGATTACAGGCTTGAGCCACCGCGCCCGGCCTAATCTGAGCTATTATGAAAGTAATTATGTGACATCTGACAGTTACTTCCTCATGTGACACTGACTTAGCCCCTGCTTCTGTTTAAGTGCTTTCTTAACTGTTATGACTCAGGCTAAGTCGACGAAGGTTTTAAACATTTCTGTGGCTTTAAAAACAAACAATTTTTTGTTTGTTTTTAAAGAGATGGAGTCTTGCTCTGTCACTCAGGCTGGAGTGCAGTGGTGCAATCATGGCTCATTGCAGCCTCAAACTCCTGGGCTGGGCTCGGACAGAGAATCTTTTTTTTTTTTTTGTGACAGGGTCTCACTCCGTCACCCAGGCTGGAGTGCAGTGGCACAGTCAGGGCTGACTGCAGCCTCAACTTCCCAAGCTCAAGCAATTCTCCCACCTCAGCTCCCCAACTAGCCGAGACTACAGGCATGTGCACCATCATACCCGGCTAATTTTGTTTTTGAATTTTAGTAGAGACGAGGTCTCGCTATGATGCCCAGCCTGGTCTCAAACTCCTGAGCTCAAGCAATCCTCCCGCCTTGGCCTCCTAAAGTGCTGGGATTACAGGCGTGAGCCACTGTGCTCAGCTGGGCAGAGAATCTTAATTTGATCCAGTACACTAGACTTTTTGCCCCATTTGTAATTTGTTTTTTTTGGTTTTTTTTGAGACGGAGTTTTGCTCTTGTTGCCCAGGCTGGAGTACAATGGCGTGATCTCAGCTCACTGCAACCTCTGCCTCCGGGGTTCAGGAGATTCTCCTGTCTCAGCCTCCTGAGTAGCTGGGATTACAGGCACCCGCCACTATGCTTGGCTAATTTTTGGTATTTTTAGTAGAGACAGGGTTTCACCACATTAGCCAGGCTAGTCTCGAACTCCTGACCTCAGGTGATCCACCTGCCTTGGCCTCTCAAAGTGCTGGGATTACAGGCGTGAGCCACGGGTACAGTGGTGCCCGGCCACCCCACTGGTAATTTGAAACGTGTGAGTTGGAATGGCTGAGATCTAGAAGTGAGGACTAGCTACTTTTGGAAATGTTGACCCGCATCAAGAACACACTGATTGGTTTAGTTGCCACAACTGGGACAGGGAAGCCATGCACCATTCCTTCTGAGCCTTGAATAAAAAAAAAATACTAAGCAGAAAGCAGCATTCAACACAAGACTGCCCAATTTCTGGTGCTGATACTTCCTTAGCCCAGTATGGAGGTCACACCTCTGAGTATGGTCATCCGAGGTCCTGGGAGAGAGTTTTTTGAATGTCCCACTTAGAAAATGCACAGAGAGGGAGTTGGGGAGGGGGGTGGGCTAGGGAGATGGGGGTTGGTTCACAGTGATCAAACAGAAGTCTCACAACCCGTCATGTAGCAAAACCTAGCAATGTTCTGTTGGGGCAGATCCTGGGAAGTGCATGATGGCTACCACCAATGAGTTGCTATAGATAAAGAAGGAAGACGCTGTTTTTCCAAGATCAGAAGGTCACTTAAATGCTGGGGTCCATCTAGAACAGGAAAAGTGCTGTTGGGCTGCCCATCCCTGGCAAACTGTTCATGTGCCCTCTGTCCTCATCCTGTCCACAGGGCAGCGAGAGCCTGGGGCATATGGCTGAAAGGAGTTAGAGCCGCTGGCTCTGTCCTTTCTCGTTTTCTCTGACTCAAGAGCTCTGAATGATCTCCTTGCTTTGGGATCCAAGTCAGTAACAGTCCAGCACCTTGGCCTTGCTTCTGATTCTTGAAGGCTGATGTAGCCGGGCAGAAAGATGAGCCTTGCTATAGTCACACCTGAAGTCCTGATTGCTCCAAGCATCTCTTTGTAGGCTGTTGCTGCTTAAGGGAGGTTAGTAATAAATACTAAGGGTAGCAAACCAAGTATAGGGTTCTTTCCTGATGGGAGCAATTGCGTCTGATCTTCCGGGTTTGTCAATTGCGTAGAAGGTGGAACGATCTTTTTATTCAAGAGGATGCCAAGGCAGACGTCTGCAGAAAGGAGTTGGGAATCGCTCCCACGCTCCCTCTCTGGGCCAAGGGAGATGGCCCACTTGACACAGACCGTTCATGGACAGTTCATTCCGGCGGGGAAGTAGTGTTGATCTCACCAGTTCCATTCAAGCATGTGATAAAAATTTTTGAGCCTGGTCACAGGAACTCCTAAGAAACGTGTCCTGTGAAGACCTGGGCTGTGTGAACCCTCTTGTCCCTCTTTCTGTTGTCTTCTCCCTTGTGAAGGTGGACAGAGGCTTTCCGCTGGGGTTCAGCTTTAGGAGGGAAAGGCACTCACTCCTTCTGCCTTTTGAGGAAAGCTGTCACTCAGCAGCTCCGCCTGACCCTGGAGCATGGACTGGGTGGGCCAGCACTTGCTCAGCGTAGAGGCGGAGGTGGAGCACCGAGAGGCCTGGACAGCACCATCGCCGGAGCTGCCACAGTGGGGGGCCCTGGAGACTCAGCTCCAGGTGTGTGCCCTTTGGGAGAGTTGGCTATGTGAGTGAAACTTAAAAAAAAAAAAAAATACAACCAAAAAACCCAACCAACCACCATAAGAAGCAGTGGAAATCCATGGCACTGCCCAAAGAAGGGGAGAATGGCCTTGGCATTCACAGCCAGGACACTCCTGCTGTCCTTCTGACTGTGCAGATTTCAGGGTAGTGTCCTGGTTTGGAATCCATCAGCCCTCTGATGCTCACAAGTTTGTGCAAATGATGAAACTGAAAAGACTGAGAAGAAAACAGAAAAGAAAAGGCGTAAGATCTTCCCTCTCCAAGCTGTCAACGAACAACAAGCAGCCCCTCTATTAAGGATACCCATTGTTGTGGGGGTCAAATAGTCAGCAGGACTGGATGGAAGTCCTCTCTGTTGAGTGGCCCTGTCCCCCACCACCCCTCTCTGCACCTAGGCTTGCTCATGGGCAGCACTGGCCAGCCTGGATGCTAACTAGGGAGGCGGGGAAAGAACAGAGATGACCATGAGTCCAAACAGAAAGGGTGTCGCTATGGAGGGAGTCTTTGGAAGTGTCATGCAGGTCCTCGGCATTGGGTAATGGCAGTGGTGTGGCTGCCCCTGGGACTCCAAGGATTTGGCCTGTGGCTGGGGAAATGACACACACGAGATAGGTAATAAGGATTTACACTGACATATGGGGTATCGGTTTGGCTCTATTCTTTTTCGGTTACCGCTTCTTGCAGTGTAGGTGGAGATGCCTCTGTTCCTAAAAGACAATGATAATTTATGTTGCAAAGCACTTCATGCATGCATACACTCACTTAACCAAAAAACCTGCCACCATGGGGGCTCAAAAATACATTATAATTATAACCATGGTGTAATCACCTAGTCCCCGAGTTTGGTGTCTAGGAATGACTAGGATCTGTCTATGGTTGGTGCCCAGAGTCTGTCAAATCCCATAACAGTCAACAATCTTGGTTGTGATCAAGTTGACTGCTTTCGACATGCAGACAGCAACATATAGACTCAAGGTGATGGATGGCAAGTCTCTGGGCTGGCAGGCTGAATGTGACTCCATGCCACTCCGTTTCTCAGCACCTGATCCCTTCTATCCTTTGGCAATTGTTGCCCTTCACTGGCTCTAGATAGTCAGAATCTTGTAATTCACTTGTCCCTGTCTGCCAGATCTCCACTGACCACTATTCTTTCGTTTTTCAACTCTCTGCTGGCCAGAAACTAAATTCCCAGGGAGTTAGCAAGGCTAGCTGGGCCTGGGAGGGAATGGCAGTGAATGAGTTATGATCAATGTTTAGGTCTTAAAAGGTGACAACAAAAGCTTTTAATTCACCATAATTTCACCCAGAGTTAGACTTAAAGGTTATTTACAACAGAAGAGAAAATAGGTTCCATGAGGAGAGAAGAGAAGGAAGAAGCCACTGATCTGGTGGGTTCCTTGTTCTGTTCCATTCTAGGGGAAGGCCCTGTCACACAGCTTCCCCTCCCTGCTGTGGGTTAGTGCCCGTCCTTGGAGTCAGCTCACCTTCTTCCCAGCCCTCAGCAACACCAGCAAGCTCGTAGTGCTTTTTCCGAAGCTCTCCCAGTTTTTGACGCTCCTTCTGCAATTCATTTTCTAGCTCTAGCACCCTAACCTGTAAGGAAAGTGAGTGGGATTTTCTTTTGATCAGCTCTCTGAGATTTAATTTTTATGTATATTTTTTATAGAGATGGGGTCTTGCTCTGCTGCCCAGGCTGGTAGTGAACTCCTGGCCTCAGGAGATCCTCCTGTCTTGGCCTCCCAAAGTGCTGAGATTACAGGCATGAAACACCATGCCCAGCCTACATCTATCTTATTTTGATTACCCCCTTTCTGCTGCATTGTGAATTCCTCTTCTTCTGCATTATTCACCCTGTTTCCATACTTTATCTAGTCCTCAATTTCTGTTCTCTTTTTGCTCTAATTTTTCCATTCTCCCATTCATTTATCTATCCCAGTAGCTCTTATGTTTTACTCACTGTGATCCTCTACTGGAAGTGAATGATGCTTTACAAATACCTAAATGGGAGGTGGGCTTATCTTCTGTTGCTCTGATAAATCACTATCTAAAAACAACTTTAATGTTTAGCCTAACTGTATGGTGAGTGCCAATCTAGTTGTAAACCTTCTTCAATTCCAGTTCCCTGGAAACCCAGGTAGGAACCAAGTATGATGGTTCTGATATCTTTCAGGTATTTGTGCAACTTAGGCTTATTACTGCTACAGGAAAAAGCATGGACAGTCTTACTAAAGGAAAAGGTGATCTTGCCTAGCTCTACTTCTCATTAATGTAATTTATTTTATTTCTTAATTCAAGGAATATTTGCTGGCCAGGCACAGTGGTTCATGCCTGTAATCCCAGCACTTTGGGAGGTCAACGTGGGTGGATCATTTGAGGTCAGGAGTTTAAGACTAGCCTGACCAACATGATGAAACCCCATCTCTACTAAAAATATACAAAATTAGCCAGGTGTGGTGGTGCATGCCTGTAATCCCAGCAACTTGGGAAGTTGAGGCAGGAGAATTGCTTGAACCCAGGAGGCAGAGATTGCAGTGAGCCAAGATCACACCATTGCACTCCAGCCTGGGCAACAAGAGCAAAATTCCATCTCAAAAAAAAAAAAAAAAAAAAAAAAGGAATATTTGCTGAGCACTGATCATGTCCCTGCTTACCTTATAGAGGGAAAAGACAAATGAAGGAGAAAGATCAGATTGCAAAGAAATGACACAGGGAAGTGTAATAAAGCCTAAGAATAGTCAGCCAGGTCTAGTCTCAGAAAGTCATTTTTCAGCTTTTGTGGCCTTAAGAGCTCAGCTGCCTGGAGACCTGGAGAATAATATTCCAGGCAGAAGAAACAGCCAGAGCAAAGGCTCTAAAGCAAGACAGATCTGGAGGTGTTGGGAGAAGGAAGGAAGTTGTATATGAGACATATGATAGAGGGGTAGGGTTGCAGGATGAAGTTGAGAACCAGGCAAGGATCATTTTTCACCCAGGCTCATGACCTGATGAGGAGCTTGGATGTTGTACATGCAATGAAAAGCCACTGGGAGGATTTAAGCAGAGAGGGGACATCCTGAGATTTACATTTCTAAACTATCACATGGGGAATGAATGGACTGTAGAGGGTCAAGAGTAGAAGCAACTAGACCCAGTGAAGTGGTTCCTTTTTTGTTTTGAAACAACTTTTTATTATGGAAAAAGTAAAACATCTACAGAGGGACGGAGACTAGCAGAGTGACCTCACTGTGCTCTTCACCCAGCTCCACCAACTAACTAACCATATGACCAGACTTGCCTCTGCAATGCTCTTTGCTATTCTCCCCACCACCTGATCGTGCCATGGGATTATTATTATCGTTATTTTTAGAGACAGGGTCTCACTCTGTCACACAGGCTGGAGTGCAAGAGTGTGATCACAGCTCCCTGAAGCCTCAAACTCCTGGATTCAAGTGATCCTCCTGCTTCAGCCTCCAGACTAGCTGGGACTGCAGGCATGTGTCCCAGCTAATTTTTAATTTCTATGTAGAGATGGGGTCTCTCTATGTTGCCCAGGCTTGTCTTGAACTCCTGGCCAAGCAATCCTCCCAACTTGGCCTTCCAAAGTACTGGGATGATAAGCATGAGCCACTGCACCCAGCCTACCACAGGATTATTTTAAAATGACTATTCATATAACATTAAAGGTAAGTTGCTTTTGCAGTGGTTCAGGAGACAGAGAATGGTGGCTTAGGTTACAGCAGGAAGATGGAAAGAAGTGGAAAGATTAAGCTTTTGTTTTGTGATTTAGCGTTAACAGGCCTTGCAGATGGATTGGATGTGGAGGGTGAGGGAAAGAGAGGAATCAAGGATGACTGTTTGTGGCTCAGCACCCAGTAGGCGGTGGGGGTGTCATTTACTGAGATGAAATAAACAAGGGGAGGGACAGAGTGGGGTGTGAGGGACACCAACAGGCCTGTTTTGGACATCAGTTACGTTTGAGATACTTATAGGGCATTAGTGGGGAGCTATCAAGAAGGCTGCTGGATAAGTATGGGGCTCAAGGAGAAGATCTAAGCTGTGGAGAAGATTTTGGAATTTATCCACATATAGGTGGTATTTAAGTCAAGAGGGGATGGGTGCAGTAGCTCACGCCTGTAATTTCAGCACTTTGGGAGACCGAGGCAGGTGTATCACCTGAGGTCAGGAGTTTGAGACCAGCCTGCCCAACATGGTGAAACCCTGTCTCTACTAAAAATACAAAAATTAGCTGGGTGTGGTGGCGGGTGCCTGTAATTCCAGTTACTTGGGAGGCTGAGGTGGAAGAATTGTTTGAACCTGGGAGGCGGAGGTTGCAGTCAGCCAAGATTGCATCACTGCACTCCAACCTGGGCAACACACTGAGACTCTGTCTCAAAAAAATAATAATAATAAAAATAAAGTCAAGAGGGACCGAGTGAGACTGCTAAGCAGAAGTCCCTTCAGTATTCAGACAGAAATTTGGCTTTGCTGGTGATCTGTGTCTTTTCCTAAAGATGCTGAGCCAGGTGCAGTGGCTCATGGTTATAATTCCAACACTTTGGGAGGCTCAGGTGGGAGAACTGCTTGAGCCCAGAAGTTCAAGACCAGCTTAGGCAACATAGTGAGACCCCCATCTCTACAAAAAATAAAGAAAGAGGCTGGGTGCAGTGGTTCACACCTGTAATCCTAGTACATTGAGAGGCTGAGGTGGGCAGATTGCCTGAGGTCAGGAGTTCGAGACCAGCCTGGCCAACATGGTGAAACCTCATCTCTACTAAAAATACAAAAATTAGCCGGGCGTGATGGTGCATGTCTGTAATCCCAGCTACTTCCGAGGCTGAGGTGGGACAATCGCTTGAACCTGGAAAGCGGGGGTCGCAGTGAGCCAAGATCATGCCACTGTACTCACTCCAGTCTGGGCGACAGAGCAAGACTCAGTCTCAAAAAAAAAGAAAGAAAGAAAGAAAAATTAGCTGGGCATGGTGGTGTGCAACTGTAGTCCCAGCTACTCAGGAGGCTGAGTTGGGAGGATCTGCCTGAGCCCAGGAGTTCAAGTCTGCAGTGAGATGTGATGGCACCACTGCACTCCAGCCTGAGGAACAGAGTAAGGCCCTGACTCAAAAAAAGAAAAAAAATTGCTGAGTGACACATCTTGGAGTACTTTAACAATTCCAATTTGAAATTCACCCCAAGACTGATGACCAATAATTCTAGAAAAATGATATCAATTTTTTTAAAGGATCTTGCTGATACCTGTTTTGCATCGTATGACTTTATAGAACAACAGAGAGAAATAATGGCATTGCCTTTGATGAGTTAAAAGGATTTTCTCTTTTAAAACTAAAGGTCATACGCAAATAATTCATACCAGAAGTCTAAAACAATGTTTATAGTAAGACTATTAAGTTTGTGGATACTAAGAGATCCTGGATAACATTTAGAGGAATGTTAGTCCAAGACTAGTGGGCAAGAGTTAAGAGTCTGATCTTGGCTGGGTGTGGTGGCTCACACCTGTAATCCCAACACTTTGGGAGGCTGAGGCAGGAGGATTGTGTGAGGCCAGGAGTTGAGACCAGCCTAGGCAACATAGTGAGACCCTGTCTTTACTTTATTTAAGGAAAAAAGAAAATGGCCGGTGGCTCACACCTGTAATCCCAGCACTTTGGAAGGCCCAGGTGGGCAGATCACAAGGTCAGGAGTTCAAGATCAGCCTGGCCAGCATGGTGAAACCCTATCTCTATTAAAAATAAAAAATTAGCTGGGCATGATGACACATGTCTATAATCCCAGCTACTTGGGAGGCTGAGGTAGAAGAATCGCTTGAACCTGGGAGGTGGGGAGTGAGGTGAGCCGAGATCATGCCATTGCATTCCAGCCTGGGTGACATGAGACGACTCCGTCTCAAAAAACACAAAATAACAAAAGAACAAAAAAACAAGGATTCTGATCTTCACTAATAACCTCCACCTCCACTGTTTCTTCCGGCATGATTTACATTCAGTCTTGGGTTAGTAGGTGCACCTGTGTTCATTTCCACTCAGGTCTCTCTCCCTCTGCCTTTTCTCCACGGGAACAATATTTAGAGTCCATGTCTAGGCAATAGAGGCTATCTAGACTTAGCGATGGAGCTCTCACCTGGGAATCCATCTCTTGGCGTTTGATCTGTGTCAGCGTCATGCTTGAGAAGTCCATGTTGTCTGCAAGGATGGAAACAAGAAGATCTTATCAAATTTTACCCTGCCTGACAATGCACCTGAGAGGTGGACAATGCCAACGCTCTGTGGAAACACCTGGTTTGCCATTTGTCAACACTGCATGAAAGTAACTGAGGGGGCTGGACATGGTGGCTCACTCCTGTAATCCTAGCTCTTTGGGAGGCTGAGGTGGGTGGATCACGAGGTCAGGAGTTCAAGACCAGCCTGGTCAACATAGTGAAACCCTGTCTTTACTAAAAATACAAAAATTAGCCAGGTGCAGTGGTGGGTGCCTGTAATCCCAGCTATTTGGGAGGCTGAGGCAGGAGAATCACTTGAATCTGAGAGCGGAGGTTACAGTGAGCCAAGATTGCACCATTGCACTCCAGCCTGGGCGACAAGAGCAAGATTCCGTCTCAAAAAAAAAAAAAAAAAAAAAAGACAGGGAACAGTGGCACAGTGGCTCACACCTATAATTCCGGCAAACTTTGGGAGGCCAAGGTGGGGCGGATCACCTGAGGCGAGGAGTTCGAGACCAGCCTTGGCCAACATGGTGAAGCCCCGTCTCTACTAAAAATACAAAAATTAGCAGGCGCAGTGGCGGCGCCTGTAATCCCAGCTACTCGGGAGGCTGAGGCAGGAGAATCGTGTGAACCAGGGAGGTGGAGGTTGCAGTGAGCAGAGATCGTACCACTGCACTCCAGTCTGGGTGACAGAGTGAGACCCTGTCTCAAAAACAGAAATAAAGAAAAAATAAAATAAAAAGATGAAAAATATGAAAGAATTTAGACACAGTCCTGTGGGATTTGGTTGGGATCACAGGGAATGATGCAGAGAAGAGCTCAAGGATGCAAGATAAGAAAAGGGTCCCTTTGGAAAGGCTACCTGTCTCTTCAATCTGTGATTTGCCGGAAATGGTTGAGGCCACGACGCCGGCAGTGGCCTGGTTCACTCCCCGAGAGGCCTGCTGCAGCTGGGCTAGGTTGGGGCTGTCCTTATCAGCTTTCACCTACCAGGACAAAGCGGATTTAGGTTCACACAACACCTAGAGCAAGAAGGACTGAATCAAATAATTGCTCTGATGGTTCTTAGCAAACATATGTGGGCCAAACGGCAATCACCAATCAGCTTCTCAAAACCTGCTGCCTACAGTCAGCTCTTGACATTATCTATCATCTGAAAAATTATTCCTGGCTTCTTTGCTTGGTGGCTCCCAAACTCTAAGCATTATCACTTATTTCGACAGTGTACCCAGTTGTAGAAATCAATCTGGGATGACAAGAAATAAGGGCAAATAAAGAACACTGAGATACTGTGAAACTCTTCAAAGGATTTTGAGCACCCGGTTTACATGAGAATTAGTTGGGGGCATCGATAGTATTGAGTCAAAAAAATTTTTTTTTGTTTTTTGAGATAGAGTTTCGCTCTTGTTGCCCAGGCTGCGTGATCTCAGCTCACTGCAACCTCCGCCTCCCTGGTTCAAGTGATTCTCCTGCCTCAGCCTCCCAAGTAACTGGGATTACAAGTGTCCACCACCACACCCGGCTAATTTTTTGTATTTTTAGTAGAGACGGGGTTTCAAGATGTTGGCCAGGCTGGTCTTGATCTCCCGACCTCAGGTGATCCACACACCTTGGCCTCCCAAAGTGCTGGGATTACAGGAGTGAGCCACCGTGCCCGGCCTGATTCAAATTTGAAGACTAATAAGGAGGAGTTGTGGAATCTCAGAGATAAGTCAGGTAACCTGTTTATGATGCCAACCTATTCCTTATTTGAGTGTTTCTTGAATGCCAGGACTGCTAATAGGAAGTTGGCATTGCTGGGACTCTCTAAGGCCACTTGTAACGGATGTGAGGAAAGTCACGAGGGACATGTGTGGTGCACTGGGTACAGACGTTCCTTGCTGTCACATGAAAGGACTCTAAGGCTGGGTGTGGTGGCTCACGCTTGTAATTCTAGAACTTTGGAAGGTTGAGGTGGGTGGATCACGAGGTCAGGAGATCGAGGCCATCCTGGCTAACATGGTGAAACCCTGTCTCTACCAAAAATACAAAAAATTAGCTGGGTGTGGTGGCGGGTGCCTGTAGTCCCAGCTACTGGGGAGGCTGAACCAGGAGAATCACTTGAACTCGGGAGGTGGAGTTTTGCAGTGAGCCGAGTTTGCGCCACTGCACTGCAGCCTGGACAACAGAGCAAGACTGTCTCAAAAAAAAAAAAAAAAAAAAAAAAAAAAAGGCTGCTGTAAGAGGATGGTATGGGACCCTTAAGAGGCTGAATTTGTATTTGGAATCGAATCCACCTGAGCCCTGGATAAATCATCTGTTGTCAGGTCCAGTTCCATCCCACCATCCAAGTACTGTCTAACCTAGCCAAGTACTCTCTAACTCCTAAGTACTCTCTAACTGAACCAAGTACCATCTAACCTAACCAAGTACCATCTAACCTAGCCAAGTACTCTCTAACCTAGCCAAGTGCTGTCTAACATAGTCAAGTATATCCCTTAGTACTCTCTAACCTAGCCAAGTTCCATCTAACCTAGCCAAGTACTCTCTAACCCCTTAGTACTCTCTAACCTAGCTAAGTACCATCTAACCTAGCCAAGTGCCATCTAACCTAGCCAAGTACTCTCTAACCCCTTAGTACTCTCTAACCTAGCTAAGTACCATCTAACCTAGCCAAGTGCCATCTAACCTAGCCAAGTACTCTCTAACCCCTTAGTACTCTCTAACCTAGCTAAGTACCATCTAACCTAGCCAAATGCCATCTAACCTAGCCAAGTACTCTCTAACTCAGCCAAGTACTGCCTAATGCAGCCAAGTACTCTTTAACCTAGCCTAGTACTCTCTAACCTAGCCAAGTGCTGTCTAACATAGTCAAGTATATCCCTTAGTACTCTCTAACCTAGCCAAGTTCCATCTAACCTAGCCAAGTACTCTCTAACCCCTTAGTACTCTCTAACCTAGCTAAGTACCATCTAACCTAGCCAAGTGCCATCTAACCTAGCCAAGTACTCTCTAACCTCTTAGTACTCTCTAACCTAGCTAAGTACCATCTAACCTAGCCAAATGCCATCTAACCTAGCTAAGTACTCTCTAACTCAGCCAAGTACTGCCTAATGCAGCCAAGTACCCTTTAACGTAGCCTAGTACTCTCTAACCTAGCCAAGTACTGTCTAACATAGACAAATATATCCCTTAGTATTCTATAACCTAGCCAAGTTCCATCTAACCTAGCCAAGTACTCTCTAACCTAGTCAAGTACCATCTAACCTAGCCAAGTGCCATCTAACCTAGCCAAGTACTCTCTAACTCAGCCAAGTACTGCCTAATGCAGCCAAGTACTCTTTAACCTAGCCTAGTACTCTCTAACCAGGCCTTCCAGGGTCCTAGGAGGTCCAGCACAGGTCCTACCTTGGATGCAGCCACAAGCTGGGCTGTGCTAGCAGCAATTTCATGCGAACACACCATTAGCTCCTCAAATTTCCCTCTGCCTTGTACCACCAGATCAGCTGCATCCCTGATGGAAAACGACAAGAGGGACTAGGTTTTGGGCAGATGAGCCGCAACTCCTCCACAATCCCACCTCCAGACCCCCAGCATCACCCTGTGTCCCCTGGGAGAACCAGGCTCCCTTGTAAACTTGGTCCTATTGACTTCCTGATCAATAGTTTATTGATCAGGGAGAGATTCTTTTCCCTTCCTTAGCTATTGTTTGGAGTGGATCAATGGAAGAGGGGTCAGGGGAGGAGCCTTGGTACCAATGGATACTTACACCATGACAGTGGCTCCCCAGCCCACAGCCTTGGAGGCTGAGATGAGTCCTTCTGTCCATCGAGAGTTCTTGGCATAAAACTCTTTAGGGGATGCTGTACCCTAGGGAAGAAAAAAATAGTCGTAGCCACCTTTTATTGAGCATGTACTATATGGCAGGTGCTTTTATATATATATTATCCCAAATCATCCTCATAGTAACTCTGAGACATAAGCATTAGTATTCCCATTTCACAAAAAAGAAGATTCAGAGACAAAAATGGCTTTTCTGGCTGGGTGCAGTGGTGCTCGCCTGTAATCCCAGCACTTTGGGAGGCTGAGGCAGGTGGATCACTTGAGGTCAGGAGTTCAAGACCAGCCTGGACAACATGGTGAAACCCTGTCTCTATTAAAAATACAAAAATTAGCTGGGTATGGTGGTGGGTGCCTGCGATCCCAGCTATTCAGGAGGCTGAGGCAAGACAATCACTTCAACCTAGGAGGCGGAGGTTGCAGTGAGCCGAGATCGCGTCACTGCACTCTAGCCTGGGCAACAGAGCAAGACTCTGTCTCAAAACAAAACCCTGGCTGGGCGTGGTGGCTCATGCCTGTAATCCCAGCACTTTGCAACGCCGAGGCGGGTGGATCATGAGGTCAAGAGATTGAGACCATCCTGTCTAATATGGTAAAACCCCATCTCTACTAAAAATACAAAAATTAGCTGGGTGTGGTGATGTGCGCCTGTTGTCCCAGCTACTCGGGAGGCTGAGGCAGGAGAATTGCTTGAACCCAGGAGGCAGAGGTTGCAGTGAGCCAAGATTGCAGCACTGTATTCTAGCCTGGTGACGGAGTGAGACTCAGTCTCAAAACAAAAAACAACAACAACAATGAAAAACCAAAAACAAAAACCCCAAACAACAAAACAACAAACAAACAAAAAGGCTTTTCCCAAGGTCAGGAAATAAATGGAAGCAAATCTTGGGCTTTTCTGACTCCAAAGCCTGCAGCATTTCTACCATACGATGACATTTCTGTATTGTATATGTAAGAATAAATATTCTCATATGAATAAGTTATGATCTGAAAAGAGTCTAGCCACTCTCTGCGATTTGCCAATAAAAAAGGAGACTACACAGTGAATATATTAAAAATATATATTTCTACTTGGATTTGAAAAATGTTTTTATGCTTTGGAAGTGTCTGATAGTCTGAGGATCTGCAGATAATCCTTGTCCAGTCCATCTTTCTATTTTAGAAACAGAAAACATCGCCTCGCAGGAAGATAAAAGGCACCAGCAAACCAGGCCTGGCTGCTTGCTTTATGGCACTGTTCTCAGGCTCATTAACCCCTCTCTGGACTTACGCCTCCCAAGCTGCAGTGGCATATGGGGAAATAAGAAAAAGAAGATGATGATAATCCCAGCAAAGGCATGAGACCATGAAGTGATGCATTGATAATAGGCTGACAGCAGAGTCTATTTGTAAGGGTGAGTTGACTCTGCTGGTGGAAACAGACAAGGCAGAGCTCCCTGTGAAAAGTCAGTCTCAAGCTGGCTTTCAGGATCTGCTTCATTTGCAAAAGTCCTCATGTCTCCCTCAGAGTACCCAGGTGTGCAATGTAAGCAGGGCTCCCACAGCAAGTTCCAACAATGTCTGCTTGTGCGAAGGGAGCTGGAGTTGGGACCCATGCCTGGCCACCCTCTAGGAAGGTCCTGGAGCTCTGACTTCTCCCCAGGGCCTCTGCTGATGTCTACAGGAGTGGCACCTCTGTGCTCAGGTGGACACACAGAACAAGATGGCAGCATCACAGAGTCTGGTGGAGCGGGAATCTGTCACCAATGCCTGCTCTTCCTGCCCAGGGCCCACATCCACACTCACCCTGCCGCTCTCCACAATCTCTCTCTGGAGGTCCTTAGAGGCTACAATCAGCACCTGAATAGCTTGCATGAGGCTGGTACAGCAACCAAGGATCCTGCCAAACAAACAAACAAACAAAAAGTCGGGGATACACTGAGATCAAGATCCAAGATCAATGAACACGACTGTTCTCCTTTCCACTCCTAGCCAAAGGCAAGCTTGGAATGGGAAAGGGAGGTAAGAAAGGTGCTGAGATTACTGGAACATTCTGCGGGGAGGACCCAAAGGAGAGGCTGGGGAGTGACAGATCGATTGTGGGTCTCCATCGTAAGGAATAGTGAAGTTGTGATTCCTAGGGCTTCTTTTCTTCTTTTTTGAGACAGAGTCTCGCTCTGTCACCCAGGCTAGAGTGCAGAGGCATGATCTTGGCTCACTGCAACCTCCGCCTCCTAGGTTCAAGTGATTCTCCTGCCTCAGCCTCCCAAGTAGCTGGCATTACAGGCATGCACCACCACGCCTGGCTAACTTTTGTATTTTTAGTAAAGATGAATTTTCACCACATTGGGCAGGCTGTTCTCGAACTTCCAGCCTCAGGTGATCCTCCCTCCTCAGCCTCCCAAAGTGCTGGGATTACAGGTGTGAGCCACCACGCCGGCCCGGGGTTTCTTTTCTTCTATAGTGAAACAGCAATATTGCTGTCATCGTTAATACTGTCACTGATGATTACATCAACTCAGCCCTTCCCCGTGGCTGCTACTGCTCTCCTCTAATTCCATAATAAGTACACAAAGTATGGCCCGATGCCAGGAAGACGGATCCTGCTCCCCTAGGTCCCACCGTGCCGCTCAGACCAACCTTTCATTCACCTCCAGTTTGACTCCTGTATCTCCTGCTCGGGATTTGCTGAGCATCTCCTGTTAAAAAGAAGCATAGTTTCTAAACGTGCCTTGAATATTAAGGACCCACTAATGTCCTACTATACTTTCAGTCCAACATCGTGTGGTAGCTGAGAAACCTGAATCTGGAGGTCCCTAAGTCCCTGCCCACATCCTTGGGAGAGTCAGAAAAAGAGTCCAGACTCTAATCTATTCAGGGGGAGTGCAGCTGTAGCGGGCTGGCTCTATGATCTGTGTCTTTTTTTTTTTTTTGAGACAGAGTCTCACTTTGTCACCCAGGCTGGAGTGCAGCGGCGTGATCTCAGCTCACCGCAACCTCTGCCTCCTGGGTTTAAGTGATTCTCCTGCCTCATCTTCCCAAGTACCTGGGATTATAGGCACCCGCCACCATGCCCAGCAAATTTTTGTATTTTTAGTAGAGACCGGGTTTCACCACGTTGTCCAGGCTTGTCTCAAACTCCTGACCTCATGATCTGCCCGCCTCGGCCTCCCAAAGTGCTGGGAATACAGGTGTGAGCCACCGTGCCTGGCCAGAACCCAGGATGTTCTGAAACCAAAGTATCTGACTCTTGAGGAAACCAATCACCTTCTCTCATGAGGACCTTCTCATTTTCTATCACTCAGAAAAACTAGTGAGTTCAGATTTTGGTCTCTCTCTCTCTCTCTCTTTTTTTTCTTAACAATTTAAAAACATTTTTAGAGACAGGGTCTCACTCTCTCACCCAGGCTAGAGTGCAGTGGTGCAATCATGGCTCACTGTAGCCTCCAATTCCTGGGCTCATGTGATCCTCCTACAGCCTCTGGAGTAGCAAGGACTACAAGCATGCACCACCACGTCCAGCTAATTATTTTACTTTTTGTAGACATGGGGTCTTGCCATGATGCACAGGCTGGTCTCAAACTCCTGGACTCCAGTGATCCTCCCAAGGTGCTAGGATTACAGGCATGAGCCACTGTGCCTGGCAAATTCTGGTTTCTGTCTTAGGGGGTCGCCATGGCCTTAATGAACGACTATGACATGTCTAATGAGCAGTGTTGCAGAAGGGCAGCTGCAAAGGCATCGTTTCAGGAGATCCTGCAGGAACCTCCTACCTCTATTCTGGCCGTGGCGGTTTCAATAGCAGCTGAAGTGGCCGCCATCTCCTTGTCCACCAGGTCCCCCAGCTCTTCCTGCTTGATGTCCAGGCCCCTGGGCAGGAGCTCCTGTGAACACATCACAAAGGCTGAACTGACCCTGGGGCCTCCTCCCTCTTCTCCTCTGCCATCTGTAACCCTTACAAGATGGCAGAGGGAGGAGGCCACCCAGCCAACACCTTCTGCAAGCCACGAGGGTTGTTGGGGGGGTCTTTCGCAGACCCCATCTGGTTCTCTCTGTGACACGAACTCTGGAACCTCATGCTCCTCCTCACTCAGGATCCACCTCTTTCCAGAATGCCATCGCTGCCTCCCCCTGCAAGGTCATTCCGCCACCACTAAGACCCCAGCCCCTTAGTTGTGCAGTGTCAATTGTACTAGCTACACAGGAGGTGTTTTTACAATTCGTTCTTTTGCTTTTTCTTTTTGAGACAGAGATCTCCCTCTGTTGCCCAGGCTGGAGTACAGTGGCGCAATTTCGGCACAATGCAATCTCCGCCTCTCGGGTTCAAGCAATTCTCCTGCCTCAGCCTCCCAAGTAGCTGGGATTGCAGGTTTGCACCACCATGCTCGGCTAATTTTTATATTTTTAGTAGAGACGGGTTTCACTATTTTGCCCAGGCTGGTCTTGAACTTCCAACCTCAGGTAATCCTCCTGCCTCGGCCTCCCAAACTGCTGGTATTACAGGTGTGAGCCATAACGCCTGGCCCTAATTTTTTATTTTTTTGAGACAAAGTCTTGCTCTGTCACCAGAGATGGAGTGCAGTGGCTTGATCATAGCTCACTGCAGCCTCCACCTCCCATGCTCAAGCAATCCTCCCACCTCTACCACCACAGTAGCTGGGAGTACAGGGGTGCACCACCAAGCCAAGCTAATTTTTTTTTTTTTTAACAGAGATGGGGTCTTACTATGTTGTCCAGGCTGGTCTCGAATTCTTGGGCTCAAGTGATCCTCCCGTCTTGGCTTCCCAGTGTGCTGGGATTGAGTTACTGCACCTGGCCTACAACTTTTTCAAATACAGATGATATCTCCCACTTTGACCCTGACTTAACTTTGCTTCCACAGCGACCATATGAGGCAGGTATTATTCCTACTGTGTAGATAGGAAGCCAGGGATCAGAGGTAGAATGTCTTGACCACAGTTATGCTAGCAAATGGCAGGGCAGGGATTTGAACTAAGGTCTAACTAATAGCAACGCCCACGATTTTTAAAACATGTTGTGTTATACATACTAAGGTATAAAATATATATGAATGGTTCAAAGGATAAGAATAAAGACACATGTTATCCACCACCCAACTTAAAACTTAAGGAATGCTATAAGAAACATCAATACCTTTGGAATCTTATTTGTACTTGTATGCGCCCTGATTCTATCTCCCTTCCTCCCTGCCTTCTACCCCAAGAGATACAGAATTCAAGAGAGTGGTTGTCATGTATTATTTTATTTTTATTTTTTTAAATATAGCCTGTTGCCCAGGCTAGAGTGCAGTGGTGTGATCATAGCTCACTGCAGCCTCCCACTCCTGGGCTCAAGTGATCCTCCTGTCTCAGCCTCCTGAGTAGCTGGGACAACAGGCACACATCACTAGGCTCTGCTAACTTAAACTTTTTTGTAGAATCAGAGTCTTACTTTGTAACCCAGTCTGTATCAAACTCCTGGCCTCAAGTGATCCTCCCACTCTGGCCTCCCAAAGTGCTGGGACTTTCAGACATGTGCCACTATGCCTGGCCTGTCTTATTATTATTATTTTTTAATGCCATATAGCTGCATCCCTAAACAATATATTGTTAAGTTTGAATGTTTGAGTCTTTATATAAAAGGAATCATACTGTATATATTTTTCCATGACTTGATTTTTCACTCAGCATTCTATGTGTGAGATTCATCCTATAACCTAGTAGTTCTGATTCTACATATATACTTTAGAGCAACTGACATGTGTGCATGTATGATCATAGGGGCAAATTAATAACAACCCAAACTGGAAATAACCCAAATGTCTATCACCAAGAGAACAGACAGATGAATTAAGCGATATTCACGCAATAGATATGAGACAGCAGTGAAAATGAATGTATCTTCTTGGATTAATCTCACAGAATGTGGAGTGAAAAAGCAAGTTGTAGAAGAATATATACAGTAGGATTCCATTTATCTGTAGTCTATAACATGTGAAACTAATTCATTATTTAGGGAGGCAAAGATGAAGACAATCATTTTTCTTTCTTTTTTTTTTTTTTTTTTTGAGACAGAGTCTCACTCTGTTGCCCAGGCTGGAGTACAGTGGTGCAATCTCGGCTCACTGCAGCCTCCGCCTCCTGGGCTCAAGGGATTACCCTGCCTCAGCCTCTCAAGTAGCTGGGATTACAAGTGTGTGCTGGGATTACAAAATGAGCCACCACACCTGGCTAATTTTGTATTTTTAGTAGAGATGGGGTTTCACTATGTCAGTCAGGCTGGTCTCAAACTCCTGGCCTCAAGTGATCCGTCCACCTCAGCCTCCCAAAGTGCTGGGATTACAGGTGTGAGCCACCATGCCTGGCCCTGATCTTTTCATTTTTATTTTTTCTTTTTAGAGACAGGGTCTTACTCTGTCACCCAGGCTGGAGTACAGTGGTGCTCCAGTACATGGTTCTGGTACATGTTTGGTACATGTTTGGTACATGTCTGGTACATGGTTCTGGTACATGGTTCTGGTACATGTTTGGTACATGTCTGGTACATGGTTCTGGTACATGTTTGGTACATGTCTGGTACATGGTTCTGGTACATGTTTGGTACATGTCTGGTACATGGTTCTGGTACATGTTTGGTACATGTCTGGTACATGGTTCTGGTACATGGCTCCAGTACATGGTTCCAGTACATGAGTACATGGTTCACTGCAGTCTTGAGCTCCTAGGCTTAGGTGATCCTCCTGCCTCAGCCTCCTGAGTAGCTGGGACCACAAGTGCTCACCATCACACCTGGCCAATTTTTAAATTTGTTGTAGAGACAGGGCCCCACTAAGTTGCCCAAGTTGGTCTCAAATTCTTGGCCTCAATTGCTCCTGGCTGGACGTGGTCTTTTTATTATCTTCTTCTGGAACTCCAATTAGACATTCTATCCTCATGACTTTTATTTTTTATTTATTTATTTTTTGAGTAGAGTTTCGCTCTTGTTGCCCAGGCTGGAGTGCAAAAGCATGATCTCAGCTCACTGCAACCTCCGCCTCCCGGGTTCAAGTGATTCTCCTGCCTCAGCCTCCTAAGTAGCTAGGATTACAGGTGCCCACCATCACGCCTGGCTAATTTTTTGTATTTTTAGTAGAGATGGGATTTTGCCATGTTGGCCAGGCTGCTCTCGAACTCAGCTGATCCACCTGTCTCGGCCTCCCAAAATGCTGGGATTACAGGTGTGAGGCACCGTGCCTGGCCCTATCCTCGTATCTTAACCGATATACTCCAATTCATAACATTGGGGGAAAAAATGGAAAAAAATGGTACTGCATAGAAACGGTTTTCTTATTTTTCTTTCCCATAGAGTCCATGTCTTTTCTGTCCCTATATACATTTAACCCAATTTCTGGTATACAGGACATATTGACTACTTATTTATAGCAGAGGCAGGGTCTTGCTCTGTTGCCCAGGCTGGAGTGCAGTGGCACAATCATAGCTCAGTGTGGCCTCCAACTCCTGGGCTCAAGTGATCCTCCTGCCTCAGCCTCCCGAGTAGCTGGGACTACAGGTGCGTGACATCACGCCTGTCTAATTTTTTTTTTTTTTTTTTTTTTTTGAGACGGAGTCTCGCTCTGTCGCCCAGGCTGGAGTGCAGTGGCCGGATCTCAGCTCACTGCAAGCTCCGCCTCCCGGGTTTACGCCATTCTCCTGCCTCAGCCTCCCGAGTAGCTGGGACTACAGGCGCCCGCCACCTCGCCCGGCTAGTTTTTTTGTATTTTTAGTAGAGACGGGGTTTCACCATGTTAGCCAGGATGGTCTTGATCTCCTGACCTTGTGATCCGCCCGTCTCGGCCTCCCAAAGTGCTGGGATTACAGGCTTGAGCCACCGCGCCCGGCCGCCTGTCTAATTTTTTTTAAAATTTTATTTTGTAGAGACAGGGTCTCACTATGTTGCCTAGGCTGATCTTGAACTCCTGGCCTCAAGTGATCCTCCTGCCTCGGCCTCCCAAAGTGCAGGGATTACAGGTGTGAGCCACCGTGCTCGGCCACTACATCTTTAGTAAATGAATAAATACAGTGTTATGTCCATTTTGGGTATTACCTGGCCATCTAGATAAAAATCCTCAGAGACAGGGGAGCTGCCTATACTTCTTCGATATTGCCTAGTGTAATGATGAGAACACAGCAGATTCTCAGCTAACAGCCAGTGAATTAAATATAGCTGGAAAGTCCTTCAGGAGGTTTTCTCTTTTTAAATTATTTTTTATTTTTTATTTTGAAAGAGACAGGGTCTCATTTTGTTGCCCAGGCCTGTCTCAAACTTCTGGGCTCAAGTGATCCTATTTTTTTTTTTTTTTGAGATGGATCTCGCTCTTATGCCCAGGCTGGAGTGCAATGGCGTGATCTCGGCTCACTGCAACCTCCACCTCCCCGGTTCAAGCAATTCTCCTGCCTTGGCCTCCCAAGTACCTGGGATTACAGACATGCGCCACCACACTGGGCTAATCTTTGTATTTTTAGAAGACACAGGGTTTCACCCTGTTGGCCAGGCTCGTCTCCAACTCCTGATCTCAAGTGATCTGCCCGCCTCAGCCTCCCAAAGTGCTGGGATTACAGGCATAAGTCACTGCACCTGGCCAGATTTTCCAATTTTATTTTTATTTATTTATTTTTTTGAGACGGAGTCTCTCTCTGTCGCCCAGGCTGGAGTGCGGTGACTGGATCTCAGCTCACTGCAAGCTCCGCCTCCCAGGTTCACGTCATTCACCTGCCTCAGCCTCCCGAGTAGCTGGGACTACAGGCGCCCGCCACCTCGCCTGGCTAGTTTTTTTTTTTGTGTATTTTTTAGTAGAGACGGGGTTTCACCGTGTTAGCCAGGATGGTCTCGATCTCCTGACCTCGTGATCCACCCGTCTCGGCCTCCCAAATTACTGGGATTACAGGCTTGAGCCACCGTGCCCGGCCTGGATTTTCCAATTTTAACAATCTCTTTCTAGAATCAAGTTGTAAGTGCAGAAAGAACTAGCTCAGAATATCACTGATTCCCTGGCCATTCACCAGCATGCACACCCAGAATAACAACGCTCCTCAATGATACTACTGCAAGTACCTCGCCGATGGCCTTGATCTTGCTCAGGCAGTTCCTCATGGCTGTGCTGTCAGCATTCTCAAGGGTTCCCTCTTCCTCCAGGGCGGCCAGGTAGGCGAGGGTTTCCCTGCCGTACTGCTTACAGGCCTCGGTCAGTGCTGGAGATACAAGGCAATAGACACCTTTTTTTTTTTCTTTTGAGACAGAGTCTCGCTCTTGTTGCTCAGGCTGGAGTGCGCTGGTGCAATCTCGGCTCATGGCAAACTCCGCCTCCTGAGTTCAAGCGATTCTCCTGCCTCAGCCTCCCGAGTAGCTGGGATTACAGGTGCACCACTGTGCCCGGCTAATTTTTGTATTTTTAGTAGAGACGGGGTTTTGCCATGTTGGCCAGGCTGGTCTCGAACTCCTGACCTCAGGTGATCTGCCCGCCTCGTCCTCCTAAAGTATTACAGTGATTACAGGCGTGAACCATTGCACCCGGCCAGTCATTTTTGTATTTTTAGTAGAGACGGGGTTTCGTCATGTTGGCCAGGCTGTTCTTGAACTCCCGACCTCAAGTGATCCGCCTGCCTCAGCCTCCCAAAGTGCTGGGGTTACAGGCATGAGCCACTGCACCCGGCCCAACAGAGACTTTTAAAGGCCCCCAGCTCCCCCGGTCCATGAACAGCCCCTTATGCCCTGGTACTCACAGTCGGCAGGCTCAGGTGGGGCTCTGAGGCTGGTGCTGGCACCATGAGAAATGGCGTCGCTGGTCAAGTGGGCCAGCAGGGTTATGGAATGGAGAAGTCCACTGATGTCTGCCAGGATTGGAAAGGAAGTTTCTCAGGTCTGGTTGATGGTGTCACTTTCATACCCTTTCCTCCCCTATTTTATGAGTTGTCTACACGCCTTTCTTGATGCAGAGGAACCTGTCACCATTTCTGCATTCAGGTGCTTCTCAACCCTGTCCAGCTGTCACTAATGACAGAGACTATCCTTGGCCATTCTTACCTTCCGGGCAGGCCAGATACTGGCTCCAGCTTTTCTCCAGTTGTTCAATGCAGCTGGAAATGGACGTGACTGTGGAGAGGAGGTGATCTGTGAGAGGGAACACAGGGTAAGGTCACAGCAAGTTCTCATAGCTGGCTTCATCCTCGTTAATTAAGCACTGAATAGAGGAGCTTACCTAGTGGGTAAGCTTCTTGCCTAGACGTGAAGTTCATGAGTAATCACCTCTTGACTCAGACCATAGTTTTTTCCTTAGAGAAACACAGAATTGTCTGCTCCTGGTGGATGTTTTATCAGTGTGACCCACTGTCTAAAGCAGTGGCTATCGGCCAGGCGCGGTGGCTCATGCCTGTAATCCCAGCACTTCGGGAGGCCGAGGCGGGCAGATCACAAGGTCAGGAGATCGAGACCATCCTGGCTAACACGGTGAAACCCCATCTCTACTAAAAGTACAAAAAATTGGCCGGGCGCGGTGGCTCAAGCCTGTAATCCCAGCACTTTGGGAGGCCGAGACGGGTGGATCACGAGGTCAGGAGATTGAGACCATCCTGGCTAACATGGTGAAACCCCGTCTCTACTAAAAAATAACAAAAAACTAGCCGGGCGATGTGGCGGACGCCTGTAGTCCCAGCTACTCGGGAGGCTGAGGCAGGAGAATGGCGTGAACCCGGGAGGTGGAGCTTGCAGTGAGCTGAGATCCGGCCACTGCACTCCAGCCTGGGCGACAGAGCAAGACTCCGTCTTAAAAAAAAAAAAAAAAAAGTACAAAAAATTAGCCGGGCGTGATGGCTCTTGCCTGTAGTCCCAGCTACTTGGGAGGCTGAGGCAGGAGAATGGCGTGAACCCAGGAGGCAGAGCTTGCAGTGAGCCAAGATCGCGTCACTGCACTCCAGCCTGGGCAACAGTGCATGGCTCTGTCTCAAAGAAAAAAAAAAAAAAAAGCAGTGGCTATCACACCTGGGGGCTTTAGAAAATACTACTGCTGGGCCTGGTGCGGTGGCTCACGCCTGTAATCCCAGCACTTTGGGAGGCCAAGGTGGATGGATAGCCTGAGCCCAGGTCTTCAAGACCAGTCTGAGCAACAAACCCCAACCAAAAACTAGCTGGGCGTGGTGTTGCGTGCCTATAGTCCCAGCTACTTGGGAGACTGAGTGGGGAGGATTGTGTGAGCCCAGGAAGTGGAGGTTGCAGTGACCCACCGCACTGCACTCCAGCCTGGGCAACAGGGTAAGACCCTATCTCAAAAAGAAAAAAAAAAAAAAGAAAGAAAATACTAGTGTACAGGTTCTAATGCACAGAGTTTCCAAATGTAACTGATCTAGGATGGGGCCTGGGCACCCGTAAGCTAATGCTGACATGCTGTGGGGCTGAGAGCCCCTGAGCTAAGTCTCACATGAGATTCACCATCAATAGAGGGTCAGGCTGTAAGCACCTGGCCCCTGCCAGCCGGGCAGTTGCAAGTGTACCTGCAGACCCAGCGCAGCTGATGAGAGGAGGTTCTTCAAGCTGGTTCAGGGCGTCTTGTATCACCTGCTCCGCAGCCTTCCTGGACCCCACCAGAAGCATTTTTCGTTGGTCTTTGGCAAGCTGGCACATAGATTCCTAAAAACGGTCCAGGGAGGTGAGAGTCTGCCCTAGACTCCATCATGAACCTGAGCAGCATGACCTGGCTGGGGCTCCTAGCATCTTAGCTCAAGTCATGGCCAATGAGGTCCAAGCCAGTAAGCCTGAGACAGAGAAAGGCGCTTTAGCTGTGTGCACGGGGTGTGTGGCCGCCCACGGAGGCTGTGCGGAGGGATCACTGCACCCCGTTCTCATGGCTGGGAGGGAATGCCAAACTTCCCTTCTGATACAAAAAAGACAGCACTCTGCTTTCCCTCATGCGCTCTGCAGGCAGTGCAGGGCCTGCTGGCATCACACCTACAGAATGTCTGCACAATTGGGCCAAGGCCCCAAACTCCTTCTCAGCAGCCCTGGGGTCCTCCTGGCCTCCGTGCATGCGCAGAGGCCCTCAGTGGGAGTTCACAGGCGCTTGCTTGTGTCTGTGTCTGTGACTTGCCTCTGTGCTGGCCAGTTTGAGCTGAGTGTCCTGCAGTTCTCTCCGAAGAGCGGATAATTCCTCGTCTCTATGAGCTGCGCCGCTCACCAGGCTGTCCCGCTCCTTCTCTAGCTCGGCGATCTGGGCTGCCCAGTTTGCTTCTGACTGCAAAGGTGACCACAAGGAAAGAGGGAGACACTGGTTGAGTTAAACAGTCCCTATTTCTCAGAGGTCCAACCCATCACCTGGCTACAAGGACTGGGAAAGTGATAGCTCTTTAATCTGCCACTCTGATTCCCTCTCGCACTGATTATAGCTGGGGCTGACTTGGCAGGTTAAGGATGGTGGATGACAGCAATGCCAAAGCCAGGGGTGGGGCAAGAAAGGAGGCCGGGTGTGGAGGCTCATGCCTGTAGTCCCAGCACTTTAGGAGGCCGAGGTGAGAGGATCACTTGAGCCCTGGAGTTTGAGACCAGCCTGGGCAACATAGTGAAACCTTGTTTTTACCAAAGAAAATACAAAAATTATCTGGGCATAGTGGCTTGTGCCTGTAGTCTCAGTTACTTCGGGGGAGCTAAGTGGGGAGAATCACCTGAGCCCAGGGAGGTGGAGGCTGCAGCGAGCTGAGATCACACTACTGCATTCCAGCCTGGGTGACAGAAGAAGACCCCATCTCAATAAAAAAGAGAAAGGCGGTATTTACCTGGGCAGAAGTTTCCAGGCTGCCTTGGAGAACCTGAAGCTCCCGTTGGCTTGTGGCGAGTTCTTGCTTCAAGCTCTCTAGAACTTCCAGCTGTTCTTGAGTCTGAAAGAGAAGAAAAACAGAGGGACTCTGATCTGGGTGGTAGTGACAAAGAATATAAAAACGTAAACATGTCCCAAGCGATCAATAAGAGATCTGTAAACTCTACTGTATGTAAGTTACACCACCCAAAAAAGTGCAGGGTGTGGGAGGAGGAGGCGAGACCCCAGAGTGTACTGAAAATGTGGAATGTCAAGGAAGGAATTTTTATTATTTATTTATTTATTTATTTTTGAGACAGAGTCTCACTCTTGTCGCCCAGGCTGGAGTGCAGTGGTGCAATCTCGGCTCACTGCAACGTTTACCTCCCAGGTTCAAGCAATTCCCATGCCTCACACTCCCGAGTAGCTGGGACTACAGGCGCCCGCCACCCTGCCTGGCTAATCTTTATATTTTTGGTAGAGACGGGGTTTCACCATGTTGGCTAGGCTGGTCTCGAACCCCTGACCTCAGGCGATCCTCCAGCCTTGGCTTCCCAAGGTGCTTGGATTACAAGTGTGAGCCACTGTGCCTGGCCTCCAGGAAGGAATTTTAGAAACATTTCCCAAATGTCATGCTTAAGTCCATAATACTAAAGGCAAACTGGGTCTTAAATTCAGGCATCCCAACAGCTGGTATATGGCTGAACTACAGCACCTCGCCATTCCCAGATGACTCTCTTTCTTTGATTTCTTGATGGTGTTTGTCAAAGAGTGGGTTGTGACTCCTTAGTAAGAATTCACAGCTAACATTTAAAAAAATGGATTAAATAGAACAGAAAATAGCCAAATGAATTCACATAGTAAGGATAAGTATTGCTTGGTGAAACTTACTTGTATTTCCATGAGATAGATGTAGTTTTTTATGTGGGGTCACAGAAAAGTGTGAAAGTCACTCCTCTAAATCTAGGACATTTGGTTTGATCTGTCCCATATCTCTAACTCCACCTCTAAGCCTCCAATCTGCCTGTCGGTCCTGCCCCAACACAGTGGTGTTCTCTGTTTTTTTTTGAGATGGAGTCCCGCTCTGTTGTCCAGGCTGGAGCACAGTGACATGATCTCAGCTCATGCAACCTCCGCCTCCTGGGTTCAAGCAATTCTCCTGCCTCAGACTCTCAAGTAGCTGGACTACAGGCATGAGCCACCATGCCCGGCTGATTTTCTTGTATTTTTAGTAGAGATGGGGTTTCACCATGTTGGTCAGGCTGGTCTTGAACTCCCGACCTGAGGTGATCTGCCCGCCTCAGCCTCCCAAAGTGCTGGGATTACAGGTGTGAACCATTGTGCCTGCCTCTTTTTTTTTTTTTTTTTCTAATAGAGACAGGTCTCACTCTATCGCCCAGGCTGGGGTGCAGAGGGGCAATCATAGCTCACTGCAGCCTCAATCTCAAACTGGGCTCAAGCAATTTTCCCACCTCAGCTTCCCAAGTAGCTAGGATTGCAGGCATAGATGCTACTACACCTGGCTAATTTTTACTTTTTTTTTTTTTGTCTTGCTCTGTTGCCCAGGCTGAAGTGCAGTGGCACGATCACAGCTCACTACAGTGTCAAACTCCTGGGCTCAAGCAATCCTCCTGCATTGGCATCCCAAGTAGTTGGAACTACAGGCATGCATTACCATGCCCAGCTAATTTCTTAATTTTTTTTTTTTTTTTTTTTAGATGGAGTCTTACTGTCACCAGGCTGGAGTGCAGTGGCATGATCTCTGCTCACTGCAACCTCTGCCGCCTGGGTTCAAGTGATTCTCCTGCCTCAGCCTCCCAAGTAGCTGAGACTACAGGCGCCCGCTACCATGCCCGGCTACTTTTGTGTATTTTTAGTAGAGACGGGGTTTCACCATGTTGGCCAGGAGAGTCTCGATCTCTTGACCTCATGATCCACCCGCCTCGGCCTCCCAAAGTGCTAGGATTACAGGCATGAGCCACTGCGCCCGGCCAATGTCTTAGTTTTTTGTAGACACAATGTCTCACTTTGTTGCCCAGACTAACCTGGAACTCCTGGCCTCAAATCATCCTCCCACAAGCTGGGATTCCAGGTGGGAACCACTGTGCCCAGCCTGTTCTCAAGTTTTTGTAAATAATGCTCATCCTGCCGGGCGTGGTGGCTCACACCTATAATCCCAGCACTTTGGGAGGCCGAGGCGGGTGGATCACAAAGTCAGGAGTTCGAGACCAGCCTGGCCAATATGGTGAAACCCCCTCTCTACTAAAAATACAAAAATTAGCCAGGCGTGGTGGTGGGTGCCTGTAGTCCCAGATACTCGGGAGGCTGAGGCAGGAGAATCGCTTGAACCTGAGAGGTGGAGGTTGCAGTGAGCCGAGATCGTGCCATTGCACTCCAGCCTGGGCAACAGAGCGAGACTCCATTTCAAAAAAAAAAAAAAGCTCATCCCTCTGTCTCTGCTACCCATGTGTTTTCCTTTCCTCAAACTCTCCTCCAGCCTCATCCTTGGAAAGCCTTTGCTGATTAGACCCATGCAACTTGGGTCCTTCCATTACTTCGTGTATGTACTGGTGACGGTGTCTTGCTGTTCTGTGTGGCCGCCATGGTGTGCTCCCTGCTGTGTGATGCCAACCGACCCACAGAACTGCCCATGGAGCAGAAGGCCACAAAGCCCCTGTCACCAACTCAGCAGCCCCCTCCCTCATTTCCCGAGTGCTCCTCCTCCCACTCACCTTCCGCTGGCCCTGGTCACTGATGCGCTCCAATGAATCCTCCAGCTGTTTTTTCTCTCGTTCCAAATCTACCTGGGCTTGTCTGGCCACGGACACCTGTTTGGTCACCTCTGCATTCTGCAAAAGAAGAACAGTGTCTTGAACCAGGAGATCCCAGGCTTAGAGGACATCCTCCTTCTAGGACAATCACACTCAGGCTGTGCGCATCCTATTGTCAGCCACAGGAATCACTTTCCTACCCAGAGGGAAGCCGGAACAGAGCTATCACCTTCAGCTGCTTGACGCTCAAGTATGTACAGAATAATAAAGAAGGTGGGTGACCTACATGGGGCTGGCACCCAGGACAGAGCGCAAGACACAGAGGCAAGGAAGACTGAAAAGGTGTGATTCCCGAGATGGTGGCAATGCCTTAGAGATCAATGTAGGGGTTGCTGACCCCGGGGAAGCCACAGGCCTGAGCCACTCTCTCCCCCGAGGTGCAGGGCCTGCAGGATGGTGATAGGGGCTGAGGGTCCTACCTTCCGTAGCAGGTCAGCGTGGTTCTGAACCAGCTCGCTGTACTTCTCCTTCAGCTTGCTATATCGCTGTTCATTGGCTTGGGCTTTCCCTGTATTGTCAAGGACCAAAGTGAGGAGTCTACCCTAGGATGGACCCTTGCCTTCCTTGCAATGAGCCAGGGTCCCTAGAAGATCCTTCTTTTTTTTTTTTTTTTTTTTTTGAGACAGTCTTGCTCAGTCACCCAGGCTGGAGTGCGGTGGCATGATCTCGGCTCGCTGCAAGCTCCGCCTCCCAGGTTCACGCCATTCTCCTGCTTCAGCCTCCCGAGTAGCTGGGACTACAGGTGCCCGCCACCACGCCTGGCTAATTTTTTTTGTATTTTTAGTAGAGATGGGGTTTCACCGTGTTAGCCAGGATGGTCTCGATCTCCTGACCTTGTGATCCGCCCGTCTCGGCCTCCCATAGTCCTGGGATTACAGGCGTGAGCCACCACACCTGGCCTGAAGATGCTTCTTGTTTTGTTTTGTTTTGTTTTGAGACAATCTTTCTCTGTCACCCAGGCTGGGTTACAGTGGCACAATCACTGCTCACTGTAGCCTCGACCTCCTTGGGCTCAAGCCATCCTCCCCCACAGTCTCCTGAGTAGCTGGGCTCATGGGCATATGCCACCACACCCGACTGATTTTTGTAGAGACAGGGTCTCACTATGTCAGCCAGGCTGGTCTTAAACTCCTGGGCTCAGGCAATCCTCCCACCTCTGGGATTACAGGCGTAAGCCACTGTGCCCAGCCAAAGATCCTCCTTTGATTTCAGGAATGCATATATATTTTTCTCCCTTGAAAATCCTACTTACAGAAACTTCTTTGGGAAGTCATCTTTAAAAAGAGTTCAACTGGTTAAAAATCAAGCCAGGGGCCAAGTGAGGTGGCTCACGCCTGTAATCCCAGCACTTTGGGAGGCTGAGGTGGGTAGATCACCTGAGGTCAGGAGTTTGAGACCAGCCTGGCCAACATGGTGAAACCCCATCTCTACTAAAAATACAAAAATCAGTCGGGCATGGTGGTGTGCTCCTGTAATCCCAGCGACTCAGGAGGCTGAGGCAGGACAATCGCTTGAACCTGGGAGGCGGAGGTTGCAGTGAGCCCAGATCACATCACTGCACTCCAGCCTGGGCTATAGAGGGAGACTCTGTCTCAGAAAAAGAAAAGAAAAGAAAACAACAACAAAAAAATCAAGCCAGAGATTCATGCCTCTTCAGCACTTACATACATGGCATTTATTTTATGGGCGCTTTCAGATTTTTAAAACATTTAATTGAGTTTTTTTAGAGACAAGGCTCTCTGTTACCGAGGCTGGAGTGCGGTGGTACAATCAGCTCACTGCAGCCTTGAATTCCTGGGCTCAAGTGATCCTGTCTCAGCCTCAAGCGTAGCTGGGGCTACAGGCATGTGCCACCATGCCTGGCTAATCTTTTTTATTTTTTCTAGAGATGGGGTCTTGCTATGTTGCCCAGGTTGGTCTTGAACTCCTGGCCTGAAGCAATCCTTCCATCTTGGCCTCCCAGAGTGCTAGGATTACAAGCATAAGCCACTGTGCTCTCAGCTTGTATGTCAATTTCTTTGTTAGGACCTCAGTCCTCTCTCCTTCTCCGTTAGTATCCACTGCCCAGGGCAAGCACTTCAGGGCCATCTTCTGTATTTCCCATCTCTGTGCTCAGCAGTGCCTCACACAGGGCTTTGTGCCTGCAGGACTCAAACCCACCCTCTGGACTGAGGCTAAGAGCTGGCATTCCTGACTATTTCTAGAAAGACACTCTGGGGCTCCCCCGCCCAGCCTCTGTGCCGCATCCTGAGTCCAGCTGGGCTCTGCTGCCCGCGCCTGCCCCCCGGGCCCGCCCCTGCCCCCACCCACCGCTCACTTTCTATCTCAGACAGGCTCCGTTGAGCCTTCTCGGTGTCTTCCCGCTGCCTCCTGAGCTCGTCCAGTTCTGCCCGCAGGAACTCACAGTCATCGGCCGCCTGCTGCCGCAGGTGCTGCTGCTCAGCCAGCTCTGCTTCCAGCTCGCTGACGCGGCCCTTCAGCTGCAGCACAACCCGCTGGCTCTGTGGGGGACTCGGGTCATGAGGCCAGCTGCCCACTGCCACGGGTCACGGGCATGGGCTGGAGAAGCGGGTCCTACCGTGCTTCCAAGTAAATACCCGGTTCCCCGAAGTCAACTCCCCACGGCCCAGGAGGGCTGGACCATCTGGTCATTAGGAGCTCCTCAATCAACAGCCATAACAGGGGATGATGACAGGGGAATTGTGGTCCTCTTTAGAGTGACTGGGGGTAGCAGTGGCTGTCCCTGTGGGTAAAGTCACCTGAGCAGCCACTGTGAGGGGCGGTTGTTAATATGGCACCAACACTGCTGACATCATCTCTTCTTTTTTTTTTTGGCGGGGGGCGTGGGACAGGGTACCACTATCACCCAGACTGGAGCGCAGTGAGATGATAGTGGCTCACTGCAGCCTCAACCTCCGGGCTCAAGAGATCCTCTAGCTTCAGCCTTCCGAGTAGCTGGCATTACAGTTATGCACCACCGTGCCCAGCTAATTTTGAAAAAGTTTTTTGCAGAGATGGGGACTTACTATGTTGCCCGAGCTAGTCTTGAACTGCTGGGCTCAAGTGATCCTCCTGCCTGAACCTCCCAAAGTGCTGGGGTTACAGGCGGGAGCCACTGTGCCCAGCAAACCAATCTCTCCTTATCGCCACGTGAGAAGGTCTGGTCTTGTTCCCCAGAGCTTCTCAGCCTCGTGGGGACCAAGGTCATCTCTAGGCGTCAATCACATGGATACTGCGCCTGGCCTAAATGCTGTCCTCATGGCATGTCAAATGGAAATGCATTATGACAGAGAACACATTTTGGATTTAGCATTTCTACCAGCTTTTATTTGGTTTTAGAGACAGGGGTCTCCCTATGTTGCTGGATTCAGAACTCCTGGGCTTGAGTGATCCTCCCATGTCAGCCTTCTCAGTAGCTGGGATCACAGGCGTGCACCACCGCGCCTGGCTTGTTTCTACTAATTAACCTACCCTAAGGATGAAGTCCAAAAAGTGTCTATGTGATGCAATTTTTTTTTTTTTTTTGAGACAGAGTCTTGCTCTGTCGCCCAGGCTGAAGTGCAGTGGCGTGATCTCAGTTCACTGCAACCTCTGCCTCCCAAGTTCAAGCAATTCTCATGCCTCAGCTTCCCAAGTAGCTGGGATTACAGGTGCCTGCCAACACACCAGCTAATTACTGTATTTTTATTGTAGACGGGGTTTCCCAGGGTGAAACTCTCGACCTCAGGTAATCCTCCTGCCTTGGCCTCCCAAAGTGCTGGGATTACAGGTGTGAGCCACCGTGCCTCGCCAGTGTGATGCAAATTTAACATTCAAATCTACCGTGTTTTGGTGAATCGCAAAGGCAGAGCAGATCCAAGGCATACCTCCGTCTTCATGTTTTCTAGCTGTGCCTTCAGTCCACTTATCTCTCTGTATAGTCGCTCAATTAAGTGGTCCCTGGGAAGAGAAGGGGAATGAGTTTGCTTCCATAGTGCTTCTACCCCTCTCTTTTTAATTGTGAGCTCAGGGTAGGAAATCAAAAGCTGGTATTAATTTGGGGACAATTCTTTGAAATGCCACGAATTATACTCTAAATGTTAAAAGATACTAATCTAATACTTATAAGTCCATGGTTATTGATTTTCTTCTGAGATTAAAGGGGCCAATATTTGAGGGTCAAGACATTCTTTTTGTGTGTGTTTTTGGTTTTGTTTTAGAGACAGTCTGGCTTTGTTGCCCAGGCTGAAGTGTAGTGGCATGATCACAGCTCACCAAAGGCTTGATATCCCAGGCTCAAGTGATCTTTCCACTTCAACCTCCTGAGTAACCGGGACTACAGGTGTGTACAACCTGCCCAGCTAATTTTTTTACTTTTATTTAATAGAGATGAGGTCTTGCTATGCTGCCCAGGCTGGTCTTGAAGTCCTAGCCTTAAGCAATCCTCCTGCCTCATCCACCCAAAACGTTGGGATTATAGGCGTGAGCCACTGCACCCGGCCCTTCGAGATGTTCTTTATCTAAGAAGCCCTGGTATCATTAAGAATTCCTCTTTGGTTAGTGTTTCGAGGCAGACCATGGCTTAACTTAGCTCTTGCACCATCTGCCTAAACCCAGGTTGGACTCACTTCTCATCCTTGTTCACGCCGTTTTGACTGTTGAAATTGAAGGGATCACTGCTGAATGAACTGCCAAAGATGTCATCAAACTTGTTGTCAAATAAACTCTGTGGTTGACCAAAAAGGAGTGAGAATAAGTCAGAGCGCCAGAGAATTCTGTGTGTGGGTCAGTTTGGTGACATGGGAGAATGCCCCCTTTTTCAATTTGGTTCAGACAATTTAATTTAAAAAAAATTTTTTTTGAAACAGGTTCTCACTCTACTGCCCAGGCTAGAGTACAGTGGTGCAATCATAGCTCACTATAGCCTCCAACTCCTGGCTCAAGTGATCCTCCTGGTTCAGCCTCCTGAGTAGCCAGAAGTATAGGTGTGTACCACTATGCCTGGATAATTTTTTAATTTTTGTTTTATTTATTTATTTTTTTAGGACCTGGTTCTTGTTCTCTTGCCTAGGCTGGAGTGCAGTGGCATGATAACAGCCCACCACAGCCTTAGCCTCCTAGGCTCAAGCGATCCTCCCATCTCAGCCATGTGTGCCACCACGTCTGGCTAATTTTGTAAAGATGGGGTCTTACTATGTTTCCCAGGCTGGTCTTGAACCGGCTTCAAGCAATCTTCCCACCTTAGCCTTGCAAAGTGTTAGGATTACAGCTGTGAGCCACTGCACCCAGCCAGACCCATTTATGATTCTTCTGGTTGTCACAGAGCAGGATGCTCAGCCTAGGTTGGTGCTAGGTGAAGAGAAGGCTGAACCTAGCTAGAGTCAATGGGCTTTGGCCAGGGTCTCCCCAGGCCTCTCCCCGTACTTGCAGGCAAGAGGAAAGGCCATGTTTCTCTCCCAAGTGGTCCTCACCTGTTGAGAGGCATCCATGTCCATGAGGTCATCCTTCTCTAGGACTGGCTCACTGTCGGGGGATGAGGTCTCTGCAGGGATCACCACCACGGGGCTGATGTGTTCTGACAGGGCTGAGGCTCGCAGGAAGTTGGGTGGGTTCTGAAGACGGAGACACATCCTCAAACAGTGCTCGCTTGCCAGGCCCCGCCGGCCTCTAAGAGGGTACTTGGGGCTTCTGCAGTGCCGACGGTGTGCGCTCAGGCACGCTTACCTCAGGCAGCTGGGGGATCTGAATGAGCCGCTTGAAGTACTGCAGGTTGCTGGAGCGGTAGAACAGCTCTTTCAACCTAGGGGTGGAGAAGGACCTGAGGGGTGCTGGGGGTCTTCATCAGCCCCATGTAGGGGACAGAGCAGCCACCTGGCCTTCCTGCCCCCTCCCCAGCCCCAAGGCACAGGCTGTCAAGGAGATAAACTCCATGGCGCTGGGACTCAATTATGATGCTACAGAGGAGGATTATTTAAAGCTGGTCCTCAGTGACCTGGTAGTGAGGAAAGAGTAATTCATGCTACACATCCTTTGGAAGAGTAGACAATCCAAAAGCTAATTTCTTCATTGCTGTAGAATGTACGTTGTTATCTTGCAGACTTAACTTCCGAGAAATGTTTGGTTTAGAGTAACATGAAAAGAAACGGACTTTCTCTGAGGATAAGCCAACTAACCATAGGAAAAGGGAAGTGAATTTAATTACAAAGGTAGCTCTCTTCTTTCATTACTTATCTTTGTTTTTGGACTATTCGTTCTCTTCACAATTAGGACTATAAGTTCCTGGGAAGTGGGGACTGAGCTCTGCTGGGCTGTTTCCCATAGTGCCAGGGACAGGGGAACTGTTCAATGAACACTTGGAGAATTACAATCGTTTGGTACTATGTCCTAATCTTGGGTGGATATACGCATGAAGAAACCAACATTGTTTTTTTTTTTTTTTCCCCTCTCTCTCTTTTTGTAGAGACAGGGTCTCGCTCTCTCACCCAGGCTAGAGTGCAGTGGTGCAATCATAGCTCACTGCAGCCTCGAATTCCTGGGCTCAAGTGATCTTCTGCTTCAGCCTCCCAAGTAGCTAGAACTACAGGAATACACCATCATGCCTGGCTAATTTTTAATTTTTTGGTAGAAACAGGGTCTTGCTATGTTGCCCAGGCTGGTCTCAAACTCCAGGCTTCAAGCAATCCTACTGCCTTGGCCTCCCAAACTGCTGGGATTACACGCATGAGCCACCCCACACCTGGCAAACTCAACATCTTTTTCTCATTCTCAAATCTCTATTTTGAATCTAAACACTGAAGACCAAGAAACCTGAGAGGATCCAGACTTATATATTCTTTATTTTTATTTTATTTATTTTGTTTGAGATGGAGTTTTGCTCTTGTTGCTCAGGCTGGAGTGCAGTAGTGTGATCTTGGCTCACCGCAACCTCCGCCTCCTAGGTTCAAGTGATTCTCTTGCCTCAGCCTCCCGAGTTGCTGGGATTACAAGTATGTGCCACCATGCCCGGGTAATTTTGTATTTTTAGTAGAGACGGGGTTTCTTCACGTTGGTCAGGCTGGTCTCGAACTCCCAACCTCAGGTAATCCGCCCGTCTCGGCCTCCCAAAGTGTTGGGATTATAGGCGTGAGCCAACATGCCCTGCCTATTTTTAAATATTTTTTTGAGATTGGGTCTTACTCCATCGCCCAGGCTGATGTATAGTGGCACAATCATAGCTCATTGCAGCCTTGACCTCCCTGGGCCCAAGGGATCCTCTCACCTCAGCCTCCAAGTGGCTGGGAGTACAGGTGTGTGCCACCACACCTGGCTAATTTTTTTGTGGTTTTGGTAGAGATGGGGTCTCACTATGTTGTCCAGGCTGGTCTCAAACTCCTGGGCTCAAGCAATCTACCCACCTTGGCCTCCCAAAGTTCTGGGATTACAGGCATGAGCCACCACGCCTGACCTATTTTAAGTTTTTTAGAGACAAGTTCTTGCTCTGTTGCCCAGGCTGAAGTGCAATGTCATGATCACGACTCACTGCAATCTCGACCTCCCGGGCTCACACGATCCTCCCACCTCAGCCTCCCGAGTAGTTGGAACTACAGGCATGCACCATCATGCCCAGCTCAGACTTATCTATTCTGAGATGAAAGGGGTGCATGGGCCTTAACTCCTTCGGCCTGCAACACAGAACTTTCTCCAGCTTAGCCCAACAAACGAACCCCCCGGGTTACATCCTGTCAGATCCCAAGACTTAGGCCTGTCTCTGTGACATCACTGCTGCTTCCCCTGGATTCAAGGACAGGGAGGTCTCAGACAGCAGCCGCGTCTGTGTGGAACAGCAAAGCGGCTACTCGGGGGAGCTGTTTTTATAAGCTAGAAGCAAATGAAAGGAAATGAAATCACCTGACCACACGTCCCCATCTTGCTGGGTTGGAGCCAACAGTAATAGGCTCGACTGCTTTCACAAGCTACCGGAATTTGACATTCCAGGAAATCAGCCCCAGGGCCTGTCTCCTCGGACTAAAGAAGCCATTTATCATAGAATATGTACTCGGCTTCTCAAATGGAACAGGGGTACCAGGAGGTGGGTACAACCGCGCACTTGTCCTTTGCTTGCTCCTGGGGAACCGGACAGAGAGGCTGAAACTTGGCATTTGGGAGCTATGGTCAAGGGTGAGGAAATTAACAGGAAAAACAAGAGGGTGTACTTTCACAGAGCGAAGCCAGGAGGCCTTTCTCAGTTCCCTCTGTCCTCCCAACTCTCACTCTATTCCTTCACTTTTGCCTGGTTTTCCCCCCACCCCTTTCCTTCTTTTTTTTTTTTTTTTTTGAGACGGAGTCTCCCTCTGTCGCCCAGGCTGGAGTGCAGTGGCGCAATCTCGGCTCACTGCAAGCTCCGCCTCCCGGGTTCACGCCATTCTCCTGCCTCAGCCTCCCGAGTAGCTGGGACTACAGGCGCCCACAACCGCGCCCGGCTAATTTTTTGTATTTTTAGTAGAGACGGGGTTTCACCGTGGTCTTGATCTCCTGACCTTGTGATCCGCCCGCCTCGGCCTCCCAAAGTGCTGGGATTACAGGCGTGAGCCACCGCGCCCGGCCTCCTTCTTTTTTTTAATGGAGTCTTGCTCTGTTGCCCAAGCTGTAGTGCAGTGGCATGATCTCAGCTCACTGCAACCTCTGCCACCTGAGCTCAAGCAATTCTCCTGCCTCAGCCTTCTGAGTAGCTGGGATTACAGGGCTAATTTTTGTATTTATAGTAGAGACAGGGTTTCACCATGTTGGCCAGGCTGCTCTTAAACTCCTGACCTCAAGTGATCCACTTGCCTCGGCTTCCCAAAGTGCTGGGATCACAGGCGTGAGCCACTGCACCCAGCCTAAATAAAGATCTTTTTTTTTTTTTTGAGATGGAATCTCATTCGGACGCCCAGGCTGGAATGTAGTGACATGATCTTGGCTCACTGCAACCTTCACCTCCCGGGTTCAAGTGATTCTTCTGCCTCGGCCTCCCGAGTAGCTGGGATTACAGGTGTGTGCCACCATGCCCTGCTAATTTTTGTATTTTAGTAGAGACAGGGTTTCACCATGTTGGCCAGGCAGCTCTTGAACTCCTGACTTCAAGTGATCTGCCCACCTCGGCCTCCCAAAGTGTTGGGATTACAGGCGTGAGCCACCGTGCCTGGCCGATGTTAGCAGCTTTTACTGAGGCAGCAGTGCACAGCCAGCAGCAGAGGTCCTGTTCCATGCCGAGCAGGGCTACCCCATAGGCAGTGAGCCCAGAATAGCAGCTGTCATGTATACATACATACACACACACACACACACACACACACACACATATATATATGCACACACACACATAAATATATACCCACTTTTAATTATATGCAAATTAAGGGGCAGATTATGCAGAAATTTCTAGAAAAAAAGTGGTAACTTCCGGATTGTCAGGTTTTTGCCATGGAAAGGGGCGCTAACTTCTGGGTGTTGCCATAGCAATGGTAAACTGTCACGGCACACTGGTGGGGCATGTCTTATGCAGAGATGCTTCCACCCCTTCCCTGTTTTACTTGTCCTTAATTCCTGCCTCCAGAGTCCAGTCCCCCATCCCACCTCAGAAGCAGGTGTAGGGTATCAACCAAACCTGCTAGTGGATTGGACATGGTGGATGAGGAAAATGGTGACTTCCAGATCTCTGGCCTAAATGGATGATGACAGTATTTGTTGAGATAGAAAAGAATGGGGAGGGGTTGGGCACAGTGACTCATACCTGTAATCCCATCACTTTGGGAGCCAGATCACTTGAGGTCAGGAGTTCGAGACCAGCCTGGCCAACACGGTGAAACCCCGTCTCTACTAAAAATACAAAAATTAGCCGGGCATGGTGGTGGGCGCCTGTAATCCCAGCTACTTGGGAGGCTGAGGCAGGAGAATCACTGGAGATGGGGAGGATGAGGTTGCTGTGAGCCAAGATCGCACCACTGCACTCCAGCCTGGGTGACAGAGTGGGACTCTGTCCCAAAAACAAAAACAAACAAACAAAAAAAGAATGGAGAGAGAAAGGTTTTGTTTTTTTTTTTTTGGGAAAACCTAGAGTACAGTTTGAGATTTAAGTATGCTATACAAATGTCAAATTGGGGACAAGAGGCTGGAATTCAGAAGTAAGGTCTGGCTAGAGATACATTATTAGGGGTTATCAGTCTACAATGTTACAAGACCAGAACTTTGGGAGAGGGAAAAGAAAAGAGGCATAAGCAGGCAACTAATGAATGGATGAAATCTCTTTCTTCTATATGCTTCTGTGGGATTTATTAGAGAACCAATAGTTGCCCTAGCTATAGGTAGATTTGCCTCTGTCTGAGCTACGTTCTGTCACTTTATCACCTTAGAATGAAGATAACCTCAGGCTGGGCGCGGTGGCTCATGCCTGTAATCCCAGCACTTCAGGAGGCTGAAGCGGGCAGATCACAAGGTCAAGAGATTGAGACCATCCCGGCCAACATGCTGAAACCCCATCTCTATCAAGAATACAAGAATTAGCTGGGCGTGGTGGTGCGTGCCTGTAGTCTCAGCTGCTTGAGAGGTTGAGGCAGGAGAATCACTTAAACCCAGGAGGCAGAGGTTGCAGTGAGCTGAGATTGCACCACTGTACTCCAGCCTGGTGACAGAGAGACTCCATCTCAAAAAAAAAAAAAAAAAAAAAAAAAAAAAGATAATCTCACCCCCCAACCCAAGTATTTAAATTTTTTTTTTTTTAGGGTCTCACTTGTCACCTAGACTGAAGTGCAGTGGCACAATCGTAGCTCACTGCAGCCTCCAACTCCTAGGCTCAGGCCATCCTCCTGCCTCAGCCTCTCAAGTAGCTGGGATCACGGGTGCATACCACTGTGCCCAGCTAATTTGTTTTGCTTTTTTTTTTTTCTGTAGAGACGGGGTCTCGCTGTGTTGCTCAGCCTGGTGTCAAACTCCCGGCCTCAAGCGATCCTCCCACCTCGGCCTCCCAAAGTGTTGGGGTTACAGGCATGAACCATTGTGTCCAGCCACCTCTCACAGTGCTCTTGCGTGGCTTAAATTTTATAGTGCTCTTGGATTCACCTCCATTCCTGTTACTTGAACCACTTACTTTGTAAACTGCTCCATGAAGCGGTCCCGGTGGCCTTGCAGGGTGTCGGCTGGGAGGCCTGGAAGAAATTGGAAAGAGTGTGAGAGGGGAGGGGGACCAGCGGGCACGGAAGCCATGGCGGGGCTCTCGACGGGGAGGGGCCCAGCTACCCTGGGGCATGTGGCCAGCACTGCCAGGGGCCATGACTGGCCTAGAGCTGTCCTGAGGTCTGGTAACCAAGGGAGCCCAGTAGGAACCAGCAGGAGTGTGCAGACGCTTATCCTCCAAATCCTTCCACTTCAATTAGTTCCTGAAGGACAAGCCATGCTGGGCACAATAAGGTGGAAATTGTGCCCCGGACTAGAGAAGAAATGGTGACTTGACCAGTAGCAGGTTGGACCATGGCAGGCCCAGGAGGGAGCAGTTTTTTCTCAGCTATTGCCTGCATTTGTTTTAGGCTGAGGCTCAGGGCTGATATTAGTCTGGAAGAGATCCACGGAGCCTGCCCAAGAGGAGGGCTGTCAGAAGGCAAAGAACAATGGACTGAAGGCTGGGTGCAGTGGCTCACGCATGTAATCCCAGTACTTTGGGAGGCTGAGGCAGGAGAATCACTTGAGGTCAGGAGTTCGAGACCAGCCTGACCAACATGGTGAAACCCCGTCTCTACTAAAAATACAGAAATTAGCCAGGAGTGGTGGCACGTGTCTGTAATCCCAGCTACTCTGGAGGCTGAGGTAGGAGAATCACTTAAACCCAGCAGGCGGAGGTTGCAGTGAGCTGAGATTGCACCACTGTACTCCAGCCTGGGCGACAGCGAGACCCTGTCAAAAAAAAAAAAAAAAAAGAACAAGGGATTGAGGCTTGGGATCTGAGTTCCAGTCCTGGCTTGGTTGGTAGCTAACTCTATGACACTGCACACACAGGAGCCTCTTAGGACAGCCTCCTCCCCTACAGAGCCAGTTCTCTGAGGTCCTGTCAGATGTGCAAATCTGCATATTGCAGCTAAAGATCACAGCTCAGCAATCCTTTTAGTGTTTGCTTTATTTGTTTAAATTTAAATTTGTTATTTTGAAATGGGTCATATATTCATTGGATAAAATCAGGGAACACATGTATAAAACATGATTCTTGAAATGGCAAAAGATGGCTGGGCACAGTGGCTCCCATGTGTAATCCCAGCACTTTGGGAGGCTGAGTGGGGAGCATCACTTGTACCCAGGAGTTTGAGACCAGCCTGGGCAACATAGCGAGACCCCTATCTCTACAAAAATTAAAAAATAAAAATTAGCCAGGTGTGGTGATGTGCACTTTGGTCCTAGCTACTCAAGAGGTTGAGGTGGGGGGATCTTTTGAGCCCAGGAGTTTGAGGCTGCAGTGAGCTATGATCGCACCACTGCACTCCAGCCTGGGTGACAGAGTGAGACTCCATCTTGAAACAAAACAAAACAAAACCAAAATGGCAAAAGTAGACAGTGAATGAATATGGCACTTGACCTAAATGATCTTTCTCCCAAGAACCCTTAACCCGAGTGAAATCAGGAGAAAAACATCAGGCAACTAGAATTCAGGAACATTCTACAAAAAACTCAAAATGATCAAAATCATCAAAAATAAGGGAAGTTTGAGAAGTGAAACGTCATAGCCAAGAGGAACCTAAGGAGACATCACAACTAAATGTCACATGGTGTACCGGATGAGATTCTGGGGCAGAAAAGGACATTTGGTAAAAACTGTGACAATCTGAATAAAGTACAAACCATTTTTTTTTTTTTTATTCGGAATCTCGCTCTGTTGCCAGGCTGGAGGGCAGTGGCGCAATCTCGGCTCACCACGACCTCCGCCTCCCGGGTTCAAGCAATTCTCCTGCCTCAGCTCCCAAGTAGCTGGGACTACAGGCGCGTGCCACCACGCCCAGCTAATTTTTGTATTTTTAGCAGAGACGGGGTTTCACCGTGTTGTCCAGGATGGTCTCAATCTCTTGACCTCGTGATCTGCCCGCCTTGACCTCCCAAAGGGTTGGGATTACAGGCGTGAGCCACTGCACCCAGCCTTAAGTACGAACTTTAATTAATAATAAGGTATCAACACTGGTTCGTTAGTTGTGACAAATGTTTCATACTAATATACGAACAAAGGGAAAATGCAACTGGGTATACGAGAACTCCTGGTACTATTTAACTTTTCTGTGGATCTAAAACAAAAATAAATGTTTATTTTTAGAAAAGAGGTTTCAGTGGCTCACGCTTGTAATCCCAGCACTTTGGGAGGCCCAGGTGGGAGGATCACTTGAGCTCAGGAGTTCAAGACCAGCCTGGCAAACACAGTGAAACCCGTCTCTACTAAAAACAATATAAAAATTAGCCACCTGTAATCCCAGCACTTTGGGAGGCTGAGACGGGTGGATCACGAGGTCAGGAGATTGAGACCATCCTGGCGAACATGGTGAAACCCCGTCTCTACTAAAAAAAATACAAAAAACTAGCCGGGCGAGGTGGCGGGCACCTGTAGTTCCAGCTACTCGGGAGGCTGAGGCAGGAGAATGGTGTAAACCTGGGAGGCGGAGCTTGCAGTGAGCTGAGATCCGGCCACTGCACTCCAGCCTGGGCGACAGAGTGAGACTCCGTCTCAAAAAAAAAAAAAAAAATTAACCGGGCATGGTAGTGGGCACCTGTAATCCCAGTTACTTGGGAGGCTGAGGTAGGAGAATCGCTTGAACCCGGGAGGTGAAGGCTGCAGTGGGCTGAGATTGTGCCACTGCACTCCAGCCTGGGCAACAGAGCCGAGACCCTGTCTCTAAATAAATAAATAAATAAATATTGTAAAGAGTATCCCTCCCACCCCTTTCTCAGCCCAGAGGCAGTGTGGGTCTTGGGTATTGCCCTGCCTTCAAAGAAGGCCTTTAAACCCAAACACTTAATTACCTGTCTCTTCTCATAACTCCCTAAGCCTCCCAAGTAGCTGGGACTACAGGTGTGCACCACCATGCCCAGCTTAACTCCCCATTTTACAAAAAGGCACTGGTGATGTTCTACTGAGCAACAGCGTACTTGGAAACAATGAAAAGTTCATCTGTATTCAGTACTCTAAGCAGCTGGTCCCTTCTCTCGGGGGCCCACTCCACCCTCTCAGCTCCCTTCGGGCAGGCCTACTTGCTGCAAAGCCTTTCTAATCCCTGGGCAGCTAATTCCAATCTCCCTTCCACGAAACCATCCCAGATTAGCATCTAGGTGATGCTACGTCCTTCCCTTGTACTGTCTAAATAATGAGATTCATTACTTGTCAATGACCACAGTTACAGAGTATACTGTCTTATACTACATTTTTTTTTTTTTTAAGGCACGGTCTCGTTCTGTTGCCCAGGCTGGAGAGCAGTGGCACAAATACAGCTCACTGTAGCCTTGACCTCCGGGGCTCAAGTGGTCTTCCCGCCTTAGCCTCCCGGGTAGCTGGGACTACAGGCGCATGTCACCACGCCTGGCTAATTTTTGTATTTTTTTCAGAGGCAGGGATTTCACTATGTTGCTCAGGCTGGTCTTCATCAGCCTCCCAAAGTAATGGGATTCCAGGTGTGAGCCACTGTGCCTGCCCCACACACATCATTTTAAACCAGGACACAAAACTGTAAGAACTGGCTGGGTGCGGTGGGTCACACCCGTGATCCTAGCACTTTAGGAGGCTGAGGTGGGCAGATCACTTGAGGCCAGGAGTTCGAGACCAGCCTGGCCAACATGGGGAAACTCCATCTCTACTAAAAATTCAAAAAACAACAACCAAGGTGTGCCAGCCCATGCCTGTGGTCCCGGCTACTCCAGAGGCTAAGGCACAAGGATTGCTTGAACCCAGTAGGCAGAGGTTGCAGTGAGCCGAGATCGTACCCTTGCACTCCAGCCTGAGCAAGAGAGTGAGACTCTGTCTCAGGAAAAAAAAAAAAAAAAGTATAAAAACTTCTGCAAGATCAGAACCTCCAAGCTATATATATTCTGCTAAGGGCACCCCAGGGAACTGAAGCTAGGTAAGGGATAGGTTTCCATTTAATGAGCAGCTGTGTTTTATAATTTACATTTCTCCATAAAATTCCATTTGCACAAAGGGATTGTGTGGATGAATGGTCTGGAAATCATTACATTAGCTCATGCAGGTCTAGGCCAGGTCTGCTGATAATTTGTGCGGTTCGTAGGATACATGACATACTTGATGAATGGTGATGTGCTCAAGCTAGAGGCAGATAGAGAGGACCATCCTGGTGATGGCGGCTGCCAGTCCAGGTGGCCTGCCACTGCCATCATGCCATCTGCAGCAGGGAGGCATGGCCAGGGCTGCACAGGGCAGGAGCCTCACCCTCCTGGGTGGGGCTGGAGCCGCCCAAGTTGTGACTGCAGATCTGAGCTTCCCTGTGTTCTCGGGGGGCCAGGAACAGGCAGGAACCCTGCCTTCCCGGGCGCAGCTGCAGCCTCCCAAAATGCAGCTGCAGACTTGGGCTTCCCGCTCCACGGAGTGGGTTGCAGCCCCGCTTCCCCGCCCCCGCCCCCAGCCCCGGCTGCAGACTCAGGCATCCCTGTACTCTTCAGGGCCTGAGAAGGCTCTCCCTCCCCTCTTCTGAACCTGCTCCTGCTGCCTGGCTTCTCCCTGCTGTCGGCATCCACTCTGATCTTAGAGCAAAGTTGGGGCTGAGACCTGGTGCCATGCATGGCAGTGGGAGGCAGACAGATTCCTGGGTGGAAAGGTGGGTACCCGGTGGGGGCCAGGCTGCCAATCCCACAGACTGGAGTGGGAACGTGGGGTGCGTTTTCCGGGCCTGCCCATGGACCAGTGGGGGTGCATTTCCTCCCCTCTGAGGCCCATAAGAGCCCTGAGCTCAGCCAAGCTGAGCAGAGAAGAGACCACCAACTACAGAGAGGAGCCACCCTCTCTGCTGAGAGCTTCAGAGACCTGCAGAGACGCTAGGATGACCAGTTGCAGAGAGGAGCTACCCACTCCATGGCCTCTTTTCTGCTGAGAGCTGAACACTGGACAGAACCACCTGCCTACAGACAGAGAGCAGTACCCACTGCATCTCCTCTGAGCTGTTCCAATATTCAATAAAGCTCCTCTTCATCTTGTCCACCCTCCACTTTTCTGCATACCTCATTCTTCCTGGATGCAGAACAAGAATTCAGGCAAAGGCGCCACTGGCCCCAGAGGTTTCCAGCCAGAAAACTGACACCCCAAAGATCCTGTAACACTGGGACACAAGAGCGGCAAGCCAGGGGCATTACTGGAGACACCAAAGTCTGGGCCCTGCTCTTTTATCCTCACAATAGTCAGGAACTCCGGGGCCTTTTGGAACAGAAGCAGACAGCCAAAGGCACTGAGAAGGACTGTGTTTCTCCAGGGACATCCTCAGGCTGGGATCCTCCCTCTGGCCTGAATCTCACGTAAGAAGATCTGGCCCGCGGTACTCACAGGAGTGGAGTTTGAAGAGAAGCTTGACAGTGTAGTCATAAAGGTGGCTGCAGTCCAAGATGACCTGGATTAGCGGGGCGAGGCGGCACTGCCCTGCTGCCGTCACAGACACAGAGCGGGACATGTCCAGGGAGTTGAACACTAGGAAATAAAAGTGAGGGAGAAAGGTGATAGAGCCAGGGGATTACAGGCAGCCTCTTCAGAGGGGCAGAGGCAGAGGTCCAACATACACCAAGGACCGATTCTGTGCGCACTTTACCTCATCTAATTCATTTAACCCTCACGACACTCCCATGAGATAGGTAAACGTATCCCCATTAGACAGGTAAAGAAGCAGAAGGTAAGTCACTTGAAGGCTGTCACAAAGTCAAGAAGTGGTTTTGTTAGCTGGGTGTGGTGGCGGACACCTGTAATCCCAGCTACTTGGGAGGCTAAGGCAGGAGAATCGCGTGAACCCGAGAGGCGGAGGTTGCAGTGAGCCGAGATCGTGCCATTGCACTCCAGCAGCAGAGCAAAACTCCATCTCAAAAAAAGAAAAATGGTTTTGGCTGGGTGCGGTGGCTCACGCCTGTAATCCCAGCACTTTAGGAGGCCGAGGTGGGTGGATCACCTGAGGCCAGGTGTTCGAGACTAGCCTTTCCAACATGGGAAAACCCTGTCTCTATTAAAAATACAAAAATTAGCTGGGAATGGTGGCCACGCCTGTAATCCCAGCTACTCGGGAGGCTGAGGCAGGAGAATCACTTGAACCCAAGAGGCGGAGGTTGCAGTGAGCCAAGATTGCACCTTTGCATCCAGCCTGGGCGACAAGAGTAAGATATCATCTCAAAAAAAAAAAAAAAAAAAAAAAAGTGGTTTTGTTGAGAGGTGGTGAGTTAACAGACTTGTTGGAGAGCCCAAGAGCTAATGGGGCCAGTGATGGTTAGACCAGGTGCCTTTGCTCCTGAGAGTCAGAATATCCAGTGCATCATGAACAGGTGAACTAAGTGCTAGTCTGTGCAGAGACCCTGATAGCCCAGGAAAGAAGAGATTTGCTCATCATCTAGGAGAGCTCCTACCATGGCGGACATGGAGAGGGAGCCTCATCTTCCTTTTTTTCCTCTTTACGAGATTGGGTCTCAGCCAGGTGCAGTGGCTCACACCTGCAATCCCAGCACTTGGGAGGCTGAGGTGGGGGGACTGCCTGAGCCCAAGAGTTTGAGACCAGCCTGAACAACATGGCAAAACCTCATCTTTACTGAAAATACAAAAATTAGCTGGGTGTGATGGCTCACGCCTGTAATCCCAGCTACTTGGGAAGCTGAGGAAGGAGAATCACTTGAACCTAGGAGGTGGAGGCTGCAGTGAGCCAAGATCGCACCACTGCACTCCAATCTGGGTGACAGAGTGAGACTGTTTCATAAATAAATAAAACAAAACAAGCCAGGCGCAGTGGCTCACGCCTGTAATCCCAGCACTTTGGGAGGCTGAGGTGGGTGGATCACCTGAGGTCAGGAGTTCGAGCCTAGCCTGGCCAACATGGCGAAACCCTGTCTCTACTAAAATACAAAAATTAGCTGGGTGTGGTGGCGTGTGCCTGTAAACCCAGCTACTTGGGAGGCTGAGGCAGGAGAATCACTTGAGCCTGGGAGGCAGAGGTTGCAGTGAGCTAAGATGGTGCCACTGCATTCCAGCCTGGGCGACAGAGCAAGACTCCATCTCAAAAGAAACCAAACCAAACCACACCAAACCAAATCGAAACAATACAAAACAAGAAAAATAAGAAAAAGGGCCAGGAGTGGTGGCATCCCAGCACTTTGGGAGGCCAAGATGGGCGGATCACAAGGTCAGGAGATCGAGACCATCCTGGCTAACACGGTGAAACCCCGTCTCTACTAAAATACAAAAAACATTAGCCGGGCGTGGTGGCGGGCACCTGTAGTCCCAGTTACTCAGGAGGCTGAGGCAGAAGAATGGCGTGAACCCATGAGGCGGAACTTGCAGTGAGCCGAGATCGCACCACTGCACTCCAGCCTGGGCGACAGAGCGAGACTCTGTCTCAAAAAAAAAAAAAAAAGAAAAAGAAAAAAGAAAAAAGGACTTGGGAGAAGGAAGATATGTCAGGACTCAAGGCTGAAACTTGGGGCACCTGTCAACAGAAGTAGAAGTCCTGCCTCCATCCTCTTGAGTTTCAGAGACGAAGTTGATCCCTCAATTTCTCACGCTGGGGCTCCCTCCTCACCAACCCCCTGCCCCCCATCCTCAGCCAAGTAACTGGCTGTCTGGCTGCAGACACTCAGCTCACACCACTGGCCAGGCTGATTCTCCTTCCTGCACTGGCCACCCACTGCCTCTGCAGACTCTGCACGCAGCGGGCAATGAAATGACTCTCCCTGCGGTCCCTCTGTGAGTGGAACTGGCCCAGAGGGAAGCCCAGGGCTGCCTGTATTCTGCTTCCCCTGACTGCACTAATCCCTGGTAACTGGGTTAGTCTGGCGGCTGAAAAAAAAAAAAAAATCCCAAACTGTTCTAATTAAAAGACAGCTTTCCTTCTTGACACAAATTAAAAGCAGCTGTCACTGCAAGGCAGCCATCCCCAAGTCTACCGGCTTCCTCAGGCTCCAACTGGCAGGAACCACGGGCTGTTCCATCTCCCTGCCTGCCCTCGATTCTCGATGACTTCCAGGAATGCCCTTTGGCACCCAGGAACATCTAGGGCAGCGTCACTGTGGACAAGGTACTGAGTTACTCTGTGCCTCCTGGCGCTCTTCTGTTGAGCACACGTGGCTGTAACAGTGCATACCTCTTGGAGGTCTTGGAGGACTTCAATGAGAATGTTGTGAAAAGTACATGGATTGTGCAAGTGGTTCTTGACTTTAGCTTTCAGATTGGTTACGATCACCTGGGGGAAACTGAAAAACTCAAGTCTTCCTGCAATCCCCAGAACCACCCCCACCATCTGTTTCAACTGGTCTGCGGTACGTTGGGATGTCAGTGTCTCTCAAAAGCTTCCCCCTGCCGTCCCCCATTAGGCCAGGTGCCGTGGCTTATGCCTGTAATACCAGCACTTTGGGAGGCTGAGGCAGGAGGACTGCTCGAGGTCAAGAGTTCGAGGCCAGCCTGGCCAACATGGCGAAACCTCGTCTCTACTAAAAATACAAAAATTGGCTGGGTGTGGTGGTGGGCACCTGTAGTCCCAGCTACTCAGGAGGCTGAGGCACAAGAATTGCTTGAACCCAGGAGGCAGAGGTTGCAGTGAGCTGAGACTGTGGCACTGCACTCCAGCCTGAGTGACAAAGCAAGGCTCTGTTTCAGAGAAAGAAAAAAAAAAGGCCCCACGTAGATTCTAATCTGCATCCAAGGTTGAAAACTATACGTCCAAGCTCAGAGGTTGTCACGTTTTAGCACGCATCAGAATCACCCACAACAGTGCCATCCAATAGAATTCTATAATGATGAAAATGTTCATATAAACTTTCTAATATGCTAGCCATATGTGGCTTCCTGAAACATGCCTGAAATAGGACTAGTGCAGCTGAGGACCTGACTTTTAAATGTTATTTAATTGTAATCAAGTTCAATGATCACATGAGGCTAGTGAATGCCCTATTGGACAGTGCACACTGGGGGTGCTTCTTAAAGCACAGGAGGCTGGGCCTGGTGGCTCATGCCTATAATCCCAGCACTTTGGGAGGCTGAGGTGAAAGAATCACTTGAGCTCAGGAGTTCAAGTCCAGCCTGGTTATATAGCAAGACCCCATCTCTACAAAAAAATTAAAAAATTAGCCAGGTGTGATGGCACACACTCATGGTCCCAGCTACTCTGGGAGCTGAGGTGGGAGGATCCCTTGAGCCCAGGGAGGTCAAGGCTGCAGTGAGCTATGATTGTGCCACAGTACTCCAGCCTCGGCGACAGAGTGAGATCCCATCTCCAAAAAAACGAAACGAAACAAAACAAAAGAAAACAAGAGAGAGAGTAAAGAAAAACAGCAGTGACGAAATAGGTGAACAGAATTCATTAAATAGTTTTAACTTCCAGCTGCAGGCTCTGGGAATCTCTAGGATGAATTACTTAGAGTCTTCTGGACCAGAGCTACCCAAATTTAATTCCTGGATTCAAGCAATCTTCCCATCTCGGTCTTCTAAAGTGCTGGGTTTATAGGCGTGAGCCACTGCACCTGGCAGCCTGCAGTTTTTCAAAAAGCAAGCATTCTTTTATTGTTGAGCACCTGCTATTCACCAGGCACTGGGCTAGAACAGAGAGAATTTAAAGATGAGTAGGACATGGTTCCTGATTTTAGGGAAGAGCTCAGCGTCTCGTGGTGACAATATTAATGAACAATGCATATAAAACCAGAGCAGGCTGGGCACGGTGGTTCATGCCTATAATCCAAGCACCTTGGGAGGCCAAGGCAGGCAGATCACTTGAGGCCAGGAGTTCGAGACTAGCCTGGCCAACATGGTGAAACCCTGTCTCTACTAAAAATACAAAAATTAGCCAGGCATGGTGACGCATGCCTGTAATCCCAGCTACTCAGGAGGCTGAGGCAGGAGAATCACTTGAACCTGGGAGGCAGAGGTTGCAGTGAGCTGAGATGGTGGCATCGCACTCCAGCCTGGGCAACAGAGCGAGACTCTATCTCAAAACAAAACAAACAAACACACAAAAAACACAGAAAACCAGAGCTAGGGGTCATGAGATGGCACAAAAAAAGATGGCTGAGCTCACCACCTCTACCCCTTACTCATTCTCTCAGCTAATCAAGTCCTTTTGGACCTCATCACCATCTCCGTTTACTCCTGGTCCACTGCCTGTCAGGAACTGGAAGGATGGCCCAAAGGCTGAAACATTTGTCTTGCTCATCCCTAAAAACCACAGCAGCATACAAAAAACTAGCCGGGCGAGGTGGCGGGCGCCTGTAGTCCCAGCTACTTGGGAGGCTGAGGGAGGAGAATGGTGTGAACCCGGGAGGTGGAGCTTGCAGTGAGCCGAGATCACACCACTGCACTACAGCCTGGGAGACAGAGCGAGACTCCGTCTCAAAAACAAAAACAAAAACAAAACAAAAAAACACAGCAGTGGGAGGCAGGCAGGCAGCTGGCTCCAAGAAGAGGCGAGTGCCATGGGGAGAGAGCTTGCGTCAGCTGAACTGCAACTTCTAGGCTGCATTTTCCCAAGGATGACAATTCCAAGAATCTCACTCATGCCTTCATTCAGATCTAGCACATTCTAAAGCTAAATGCAGGCTGGGTGTGGTGGCTCATGCCTGTAATTCCAGCACTTTGGGAGGACAAGGCAGGCAGATCGCTTGAGCTCAGGAGTTTGAGACCAGCCTGGGCAATATAGTGAAGCCTCGTCTCTACAAAAAGTACACAAAAATTAGCTGGGGATGGTGGTGCATGCCCGCAGTCCCAGCTACTTGGGAGGCTGAGACAGGAGGATGGCTTGAGCCCCAGAAGCAGTGAGCCAAGACTGCACCACTGCATTCCAGGTTGGGTGACACAGCCAGACTATCTCAAAAGAAACAACAAAAAAAAGTGAAAGCTAAATGCAAATGATTTCTGAATTATCCACATACGTTGTTCCCACCCAAATCCAAAGGATGAAAAGTTAGCCACAACAATGTATACTTGTTCATATACTTTTATGCAAACATTTCCAGTGCATTTTTTTTTCAAGGAGTCTTGCTCTGTTGCCCAGGCTGCAGTGCAGTGGTGCGATCTCAGTTCACTGCAACCTCTGCCTCCCGGGTTCAAGCAATTCTCCTGCCTCAGCCACCTGAGTAGCTGGGATTACAGGCACACACCATCACACCTGACTAATTTTTGTATTTTTAATAGAGACAGGGTTTCACCATGTTGGCCAGGCTGGTCTTGAACTCCTAACCTCATAATCTGCCTGCCTTGGCCTCCCAACGTGGTGAAATTACAGGCATGAGTCACCACGCCTGGCCCCAATGCGTTTTTTAAAAAACAAATGCATCCACTCCACTGCCTTCAATCTGACTGGGAATAGCCTAGGGCATAGGCTAGATTTTGTGTTTTATTTTTATTTCTCTACTGACTTTTGTATAACGCCATGCTCAAATAGCTTCCTAGTCGGCTGAATGTCCCTTTCTCACAGAAACCCAGTTTCCAACCATATCTGCTGTTTGTCTTTCTTTTTTCTGAGACAGAGTCTTGCTCTGTCACCTAGACTGGAGTGCAGTGGTGTGATCTCGGCTCACTGCAATCTCCGCCTCCTGGGTTCAAGTCATTCTCCTGCCTCAGCCTCCTGAGTAGTTGGGATTACAGGCGCTCGTCACCATGCCTGGATAATTTTTGTATTTTTAGTAGAGACGGGGTTTCACCATGTTGTCCAGGCTGGTCTTGAACTCCTGACCTCAGGTGATCCACCCGCCTCGGCCTCCCAAAGTGCTGGGATTACAGGCATGACCCCTGCGCCTGGCCTGTTTCTGGTGTTTTTCTGACCACATCCAGTGCTGAAGACTGGTCAATGTATTATGGAATCTGTTGCCCTGTCCTAGCCGTAGTACAACACGAAACAGAATATTCTGGAAAAGAGGCCAGTAGTAGGCATTTCTACACAGATGAACACGCCCAAGGAAGCTGAAGGAAATTCGGGGTCAGAGAGTCCAAGCCCCAAGAGTGGGTCCTGCATGTCCACATGCAGAGAAGCCCACCAGGCTTGGGCATGAGACCACCAAGCTTGCGTATGGAGACCTGCAATGTGCAACGTCGTCTTTCAGAGTTGGATGCTTGTCTTGGAACGCCCTGAGTCTCAGAACGCTGGTGCTTATGTCCCCCAGGGAAGGGAGGGGAGCCTGCTGGGAGGTGTGGGGAGGAGGGGCGCTGGAGAGAAGGGGACCAGCTGAGGCTTGTCAGGGAAGCGTTAGGGGCTGATGGTCTGGAGGCACCACAGTTCTTGGCAGACGGGAGCCTGGAAGTGTGGCCACTCCCCCTGCTAGTGGAACAGGACTCTGTGAGCTTCTCACGTGGACTTGGGTGACAACCAGTCCTGGGTGACAACCAATCCTGACCAGCTTGTTCCCATGGCTGCCAACTCAACAACAGACACGAGCCCTTCCTCCTCAGCAGAAATCGTGCCCACGAGCCAGCCCAGCTCCAAGGAGCAGACAGGACTGGACCAAGGACTGGCCAGGGCCATGGCCACAGTCCAGTGGCTGCCAAGGAGGTAAGACCTGTCTCTGGGCTTTTGGAGGTCTGTGCTTCAGGAGGGAGGCCAGTAGGAAGGAGCAGTGCGTGGTCTTTCTGCTCAGACGTGAAACCACCCGCTTTGAAAATATCTAGGAGGCCAGGTGTGGTAGTTCACGCCTGTAATCCCAGAACTTTGGGAGGCTGAGTTGGGAAGACACCTTGAGGCTGGTAGTTCAAGACCAGCCTGGGCAACACAGCAAGACCCCCATCTCTGCAAAAAATACAAAAAATCAGCCAGATGTGGTGGTGAGTGCCTGTAGTCCCAGCTACTTGGGAGGCTGAGGTGGGAGGATCACTTGAGCCTAGTAGTTTGAGGTTGCAGTGAGCTGTAACATGCCACTGCAATCTAGCCTGGGTGACACAGCGAGATCTTCTCTCTCTTTCTTTTTTTTTTTTTTTGAGATGAAGTCTTGCTGTGTAACCCAGGCTGGAGTGCAGTGGCATGATCTTGGATCATTGCAACCTCTACCTCCTGGGTTCAAGCAATTTTCCTGCCTCAGCCTCCCAAGTAACTGGGATTACAGGCATAAGCCACCATGCCTGGCTAATTTTTTTTTTTTTTTTTTTTTTTGAGACGGAGTCTTGCTCTGTCACCCAGGCTGGAGTGCAGTGGCCGGATCTCAGCTCACTGCAAGTTCCGCCTCCCGGGTTTACGCCATTCTCCTGCCTCAGCCTCCCGAGTAGCTGGGACTACAGGCGCCCACCACCTCGCCCGGCTATTTTTTTGTATTTTTTAGTAGAGACGGGGTTTCACCGTGTTAGCCGGGATCATCTCTCGATCTCCTGACCTCGTGATCCGCCCATCTCGGCCTCCCAAAGTGCTGGGATTACAGGCTTGAGCCACCGCGCCCGGCCGCCTGGCTAATTTTTATATTTTTATTAGAGACAGGGTTTCACCATGTTGGCCAGACTGGTCTTTAACTTTTGGCCTCAAGTGATGGGCCCACCTTAGCCTCCCAAAGTGCTGGGATTACAGGTGCGAGCCACTGTGCCCAGCTGAGACCTTGTCTCTTAAAAAGAAAAATACTGAAGAGGTTCAGTCCCTCCCTGCACGAGGGACGGAGAGACCAGAGATGGGGTGTGAGTGTCTCCATTTTCCTGCCCCTTGTGCCACACACTTTGCAGGGAGAGGAGGACTGGGAATTAGGTAGTTCCCATGAGAGCCTGGCTTAGACAAGAGGGAAGAGACTCACCCGTTTGGAAGAGGTTGAGTTCACACTCCAGGTAGTCAAACATCTCCACTGTTAACTGGAAACTGGACCCAAGAGGAAAGAGAGCTTACACTCCACAGCCTGAGGCCGGTCTGTTACCCGTCCCCTCCCCCGTGCTCTACACTACTGCCTCCAGTCTCCAATGCTCACGTGCGTGCGCAAACACACACACAACTCCAGCTCCAAGTCTTAGCCTCATGGGTATTATGGCCATGCAGCCTGGTGGAGAGTCAACAGTGACAGTGACAGGTCAGGGGTGGTGGCTCACACCTGTCGTCCCAGCACTTTGGGAGGCCGAGGTGGGCGGATCACCTGAGGTCCGGAGTTCAAGACCAGCCTGGCCAACACGGCGGAACCCCATCTCTACTAAAAATACAAAAATTAGCCGGGTGTGATGGCGCATGCCTGTAATCCCAGCTACTCGGGAGGCTGAGGCAGGAGAATCACTTGAACCTGGGGGGTGGAGGCTGCAGTAAGTCGACATCGAGCCACAGCACTCCAGCCTGGGTAACAGGGTGAGACTGCTTCTCAAAAAAACAAAAATGAAAACAGTGACAGTGACAGAAGGAGAAGATAGTTACCAGTGTTGGAGTCGGAGGGCAGAAAGCGAGACAGACACGAAAGCTCTGGGGTGTGAAATAGCCAGGCAGGGGTTCTGGATAAGGCATCACCAATAAATAAGTGGCCCCAAGGCCAAGTCACCCAGGGACTTTGGTCCCCACCCCAGCCACGCCCCCCCACCCAATCAGGCCCTCCATGTCCCTTATGAGAAGTGTCGGCATTCACAAAAGCTTTCTCCCTCCCTGGGCTCAGGGCAGGAGCCACTTACAAGTTGTTCACGTCACTTTCTCCAGCCTCATCCAGCTGGCGGTCACTCATCTGCAGGTTGCCTGGGAACCTGGGATTCTGGAAGGAAGGCAGAGGAAGGGAGTCAGGACAGGAGACATGAAGAGCTCTCTCTCAGCCGGGCGTGGTGGCATACGCCTGTGGTCCCAGCTACGTGGGAGGCCGAGGCGGGAGGATCGCTTGAGCCCAGTAGTTCAAGGCTACAGTTCAAGGCCACTGCACTCCAGCCTGGTTACAGAGTGAGACCCTACCTCAAAACAAACAAAAAAGAAAAAAAAAAGAAACACCAGCTGGTATCATCAATCATTGCTCAGTATCTATAGCATGATCCTGTCATCTGTGTGGTTTGTCCCTGTGGCAAAGGGAAAAGGCCGCAGAGATGGGTGGTCATTCCATCATTGGGCATCTGCATGTACAAGTGGATACTTTAGGCTCTAGGCTGGGCGCGGTGGCTCACACCTATAATCCCAGCACTTTGGAGGCCAAGGCAGGTGGATCACTTGAGGTCAGGAGTTAGAGACCAGGCTGGCCAACATGGTGAAACCCTGTCTCAACTAAAAATAAAAAAAATTAGCCAGGGGTGGTGGCGCATGCCTGTAGTCCCAGCTCCTTGGGAGGCTGAGGCAGGAGAATCGCTTGAACCTGGGAGGTGGAGGTTGCAGTGAACTGAGATGGAACCACCACACTCCAGCCTGGGCAACAGAGTGAGACTCCGTCTCCCCCCGCAAAAAAAAAGAAAAAAAAAAATCCCTATTGCAGACTTTGCTCCTGGGCTCCATGGTGCCAAGGCCTCTGAGGCTTGACCTGGCACCTGGGACACAGTTTTCCTTTGCCCCAAGTCATGCACCCTGAGATTACAACCTTTGACCTCAGTTTCAGCACCTTCACCTCTACTCCATCCCCAGCTACGCACACCCACTCCAGACTCCACCATCACCTAAAACGTCCCTGCCTAGAACTCTCCACTATAGCATCTCCCTCTCTGGCTGCATCACTCAGGCCTCTGCCCTTCCAGTCCTCTCCTGCCCTCAAGTCCACCCACTACTCATACTTAAGTCTCAGAGATGGCCAGTCCCTTCCTGCTCCCTCTCCTCTCCATTTCTCTGCCTGCCTTTGCCTCCTGGCTCAGTCTCAACATCATGACTGGTGGCCTGGCTCCACTTTCCCATGCCCTGCCTGCCTTTCCACCACACTGCTTCGAAGACCTGCTGAGAGCCTGAGTCCTTGTCATCGGCTCTGCACCTAGGGCCAGCTGCCAACTGTCCCTGGAGAAAAACTCACAGCTGGTGTCACTATGCATGCACGCTCTCTGGCCTGAACGTCCGTCTCAGTCAGCTCAGGCAGCTATAACAAGATACCACATGCTGGGTGGCTTAACCCATAGACAGTGTCTCGCAGTTCTGGAGGCCGGGGAGTCCAAAGTCAAGGTGTTGACAGATTCAGTCTCTGGTGAGGGGCCTCATCTTGGTTACACTGCTTACATGGCAGAGGAGGGGGAATCAGGCTCTCTCCTGTTTCTCTTTTTTTATTTTTTAGAGACATGACCTCACTGTTACCCACGATGAAGTGCAGTGGCATGATCGTCGCTCACTGCAGCCTCGAATTCCTGGGCTCAAGCGATCCTCCACCTCAGCCTCCTGAGTAGCTGGTACTACAGGCATACACCACCATGCGGGCTAATTTTTTTTTTTTTTTTTTGTATTTTTAGTAGCGATGGGGTTTCACCACATTGACCAGGCTGGTCTTGAATTCCTGACCTCAGGTGATCCGCCTGCCTTAGCCTCCCAAAGTGCTGGGATTACAGGCGTGAGCCACTGCACCCAGCCAGATAATGAATTTTTCTTTAATGTGTGCGGGATATTTTTGCTGTTGTTGTTTTCAAGATGGAGTCTCACTCTGTCGCCCAGGCTGGAGTGCAATGGCATGATATCAGCTCACTGCAACCTCAGCCCCTTGGGTTCAAGCGATTCTCCTGTCTCAGCCTCCTGAGTAGCTGGGATTAGCAGGCATGCACCACCATGCCCGGCTAATTTTTTTATATTTTTAGTGGAGATGGGGTTTCACCATGTTGCCCAGGCTGGTCTTGAACTCCTGACCTCAGGTGATCCACCCATCTCGGCCTCCCAAAGGTCTGGGATTACAAGCGTGAGCCACCGCGCCCGGCCAAAAAAAATTTTTTTTTAAGAGACAGGGTCTCACTGTGTGGCCCAGGCTGGTCTCACCTCAACCCTTGGCCTCCCCAAATGCTGGAACCGCAGGTATGAGCCACTCTGCCCAGCCTCCTTCCCCACTCTTGTATCGCTAATTGCTAAAAACTGGAAAAGTCCTTTGCTCCTCCACACTTGGACAATACCAGCTTCCCCACTTTCCCTGCTTTCTAAAACCAGGAAAAACAAGACAGCAGTGAGCTCGAGAGCCTTTGGAAGCAAAGCCAGCTGCATCCTCATTTGACCCCAATTCTCCAAGCCCACGTGACCATTCCCTTCTGCCCTTCCATGCTATTAAAAGCTAGGGGCCTGGCCATCGGCACCGGCTGCTTCTGATGCCGCTGAACTCTGCTCTCTTTCTATACACAAGGGAAAGGGACTCCCTTGGCCTCTATCACCCCTGCAGCGCCACTGCCCCAGCTCCCATCCCAGTCCCCTTCCTCCCTAACCATCTTCCCAGTCTTGCTTTCTCCACACCCTCCCTTCTCTCCTTTTTCACCTAAAATCCTACCCTAGGCCCTTCCTCCTCCCATTTCCCATTTAACACTGTATTTTTTTTTTTTTTTTTTTGAGAGAGAGTCTTGCTGTGTCACCCAGGTTGGAGTGCAACCTCTGCCTTCCAGATTCAAGCCATTCCCAAGCCTCAGCCTCCTGAGTAGCTGGGATTACAGGTGCATGCCACCACGCCCAGCTAACTTTTGTGTTTTTAGTAGAAATGGGGGTTTCACTATGTTGGTCAGGCTGGTCTCCAACTCCTGGCCTCAAGTGATCCTCCTGCCTCGGCCTCCCATGGTTTTGGGATTAGAGACGTGAGCCACCACACCCACCAGTTCAATTTAACACTTTCAACCTCTACTCCCATCTTTTTTTTTTTGTTTTTTTTTTGAGATGGAGTCTTGCTCTGTCGCCCAGGCTGGAGTGCAGAGGCAGCATCTCGGCTCACTGCAACCTCCACCTCCTGGGTTCAAGCCATTCTCAAGCCTCAGCCTCCTGAGTAGCTGGGATTACAGGTGCGTGCCACCACACCCAGTTAACTTTTGTGTTTTTAGTAGAGATGGGGGTTTCACTATGTTGGTCAGGCTGGTCTCCAACTCCTGGCCTCAAGTGATCCTCCTGCCTCGGCCTCCCATGGTGTTGGGATTAGAGGTGTTAGCCACCACACCCACCAGTTCAATTTAACACTTTCAAAACCTCTACTCCCATCTTTTTTTTTTTTTTTTTTTTTGAGATGGAGTCTTGCTCTGTTGCCCAGGCTGGAGTGCAGTGGCGGCATCTCGGCCCACTGCAACCTCCGCCTCCCAGTTTCAAGTGATTCTCCTGCCTCAGCCTCCTGAGTAGCTGGGAGTACAGGCGTGAGCTAATTTCTTTTTGTATTTTTTGTAGAGATGAGTTTTGCCACGTGGGCCAGGCTGGTCTTGAACTCCTGACCTCAGACGATCTGCCCGCCTCAGCCACCCAAAGTGCTGGGATGACAGGCGTGAGCCACTGTGCCCAGCCCCAGAAGATCTTAAATCCAATTCTCACCTTTCCCCACCTCCTCATGACACCTTTACCAGAGCCTGGTCCTCCCTCCAATCACACGCTATAAGTCCCCTCCCCTCCACACCCTGAGCCTCTCCCTCCTGCTTCTTTGCCTTGCAATCCAGCCCGAGGGCAGCCCGACTCCCCGCCTCGGCCTCTGACACCCTGGCCTGGCCCAGCCTCAGTTCTGGTTTATGTTGCCTCCTATGTGCCCACCCCTCTGCCTGACCCCCTATTGTCTCCCACAGTTGCCAGACCCCTGCACACCCCTCAGCTGTTCCCCTCCCCCACCTCACAGTATCCATCACGTCACCTTCTTCTCTCTTTTTTCTGGGAGACAGGGCCTCACTCTGTTGCCCAGGTGGAAGGGCAGTGATAGCTCACTGCATCCTTGACCTCCCAGGCTCAAAGCATCCTTGACCTCCCAGGCTCAAAGCATCCTCCCACCTCAGCCTCCCGAGTAGCTGGGACTACAGTTGCATGCTACCACACCCGGCTAATTTTTAAATTTTTTGTAGAGACAGGGTCTCCCTATGTTGCCCAGGCTCGAACTCCTGGGCTTAAGGAATCCGCCCTGCTTGGCCTCCCAAAATGCTGAGTTTATAGGCCCGAGCAACCCCACCCAGCCTCATTTCCTGCCAATCTTCAGGCAGTCCCTGCTTCTTTGACTGTCCCATGGACAACTCCTAATTCTGGCTCTCATCATTGTCCTCACTGGCCACCTGGATCTTTTAAGTCCACTTTGGAAAAGTGGACTTAAAATGCAGAGTGGCCCATGTCATTGCTTTACAGCCTGACCCCATTGGGTCCAAGGTGTGGCTCAGGTGGGTGCTGAGGCCTCTGTGACTGAGATGCTGTTTTCTACCCTGCCCAGCCTCACACCAGAGTGGATCTAAGCCAGGCATAGTGGCGAGTATCTGTGGTCCCAGTAACTCGGGAGACTGGGGCAGGAGGATCTCTTGAGCCCAGGAATTTGAGGCTGCAGTGAGCTAAGGTGATCCACCTCCAGCCTGGCCAACATGGTGAAATCCCGTCTCTACTAAAAATACAAAAAATTAGCCAGGCGCGGTGGCTCCTGCCTGTAGTCCCAGCTACTTGGGAGGCTGAGACATGAGAATTGCCTGAACCCAGCAGGTAGAGGTGGCAGTGAGGTGAGATCGTGCCACACTGCACTCCAGCCTAAGTGACAGAGTGAGACTCCATCTCAAAAAAATAAAATAAAATAAAAATAAAATAAAAAAATTAAAAGACAGGTCTGTAGGGGAGCTTGCTATAGAAATTGTAGGAATTGCTGGGTGCCATGGCTCACGCCTGTAATCCCAGCACTTTGAGAGGCCAAGGCGGGTGGATCACCTGAGGTCAGGAGTTCGAGACCAACCTGACAAAATCCCATCTCTACTGAAAAAAAAAAAATACAAAATTAGCCAGGCATGGTAGTGTATGCCTGTAGTACCCAGCTACTCAGGAGACTAAGGCAGGAGAATCACTTGAACCCAGGAGGTGGAGGTTTTGGTGAGCTGAGATCGTGCCATTGCACTTCAGCCTGGGCAACAAGAGCAAAACTCTGTCTCAAAAAAAAAAAAAGAAAGAAAACGAAAAAAAGAAATTGCAGGAGTAGGTTTGCTCTGTCACTCAGGCTGGAGTACAGTGGCATGATCACAGCTTATGTTATGCCCAGACTGTTTGTTCCCCAAAGAAGACCACCAGAGTCCAGAGTCAAAGCCAAGCGGCAAGGATCTTTACTACAAGTTCGAACCTGGTCCCTCCTTTACACAGTATACAAGAGGGCCCCGAACAATGCGAGCGTTTGCTTTTTATAGCCCGAAAGTTGCAGGGGAACAAAGAAATTCTTTTGGCTCCTGCGCTTTCAGTAACCTTGAACGGCTGTCCCCTTATCGGAGACTTTCCAGGTGGTGTTTGTACTGGGCTCAGGGAGTTTGAGAGATATATGGTGGTGGGATGGGAGGATGGGATATGTTTGTGCTAGGCTCAGGGAGTTTTGAGCCCGGGGCTGAGGAATGTGCCCAGCTCCTTTCACTTACAGCAGCCTTCAGCTCCAGAACTCAAGTGATCCTCTTGCCTCAGCCTCCTGAGTAGCTGGGACTACGGGCATGTGTCACCACCTCTGGCTAATTGTAATTTTTTGTAGAGACAGGGTCTTGCTATGTTGCCAGGCTGGTCTCAAACTCCTGGTCTTAAGTGATCCTCCAGTCTCGACCTCCCAAAATGCTCAGATCACAGGCATGAGCCACTGTGCCTGGCCAGGAATTGTTTTTATTAACAGTAAAATCAGCCGGGCGCGGTGGCTCAAGCCTGTAATCCCAGCACTTTGGGAGGCCGAGACGGGCGGATCACGAGGTCAGGAGATCGAGACCATCCTGGCTAACACAGGGAAACCCCGTCTCTATTTAAAAAAATACAAAAAAACTAGCCGGGCGTGGTGGCGGGCGCCTGTAGTCCCAGCTACTCAGGAGGCTGAGGCAGGAGAAAATGGCGTAAACCTGGGGGGCGGAGCTTGCAGTGAGCTGAGATCCGGCCATTGCACTCCAGCCTGGGCAACAGAGCAAGACTCCGTCTCAAAAAAAAACCAAAAAAAAAAAACAGTAAAATCAATGCTTCTGTAACATTTTCATAAGGCAATCTAGTGGCTAGGGTTACCCTTTCTTTTTTATGTTTTTTTGAGACAGTGTCTCACTCTGTCGCCCAAGCTGGAGTACAGTGGTATGGTTTTGGCTCACTGCAACCTCCGCCTCCTGGTCTTGGGTTCAAGCAATTCTCCTGCCTCAGCCTCCCGAGTAGCTGGGATTACAGGCACGCATCACCACCACGGGTAATTTTTGTACTTTTAGTAGAGACGGGGTTTCACCATGTTGGCCAGGCCAGTCTTGAACCCCTGACCTCAGGTGATCTGTCCGCCTGGGTCTCCCAAACAGCTAGGATTATAGGCGTGAGCCACCGTGCCTGGCCAGTTGTTCTTTCTAGTTGCAAAATGGGGCACAAAAGGGTGCAGAAGACATGGGCAAGGGAGGCGGTGGTGGCGGCAGAACTGTCCGCAGAGACTCACTTTGGTGTGGTACTCCATCTTGGTTCTCAGCAGTTTCAGGTAGATGCTGCACAGCTGGCCATACCCCTCGCTCAGGTGGCCCTTTCAGGAAGAGGAGGGGAAGCAGAGTCAACAACAAGAACATGACGGTCGAGAGATCTGAGGCCAGAAATTCTCTGGTAAAGAATCTACCTTCTTCTTTTTTTTTTCTCCCCTTTATGTTATTTATTTAGAGATGGGGTCTAGCTCTGTTGCCCAGGCTGGAGTGCAGTGGCATGATCTCTGCTCACTGCAGCCTCTGCCTCCTGGGTTCAAGTGATTTTCCTGCCTCAGTCTCCTGAGTAGCTGGGATTACAGGCATGCGCCACCATGCCTGGTCAATTTTTGTATTTTTAGTAGAGATATGGTTTCACCATGTTGCCCAGGCTGGTCTCAAACTCCTGGCCTCGAGTGATCCACCTGCCTGGGCCTCCCAAAAGGCTGGGATTACGCTACAGGTGTGAGCACCATGCTTAGCTAATTTTTGTCGTTTTTACTAGAGATGGGGTTTCACCATATTGGCCAGACTAGTCCTGAACTTCTGACCTCAGGTGATCCGCCCACCTCCGCCTCCCAAAGTGCTGGGATTACAGGCGTGAGCCACCGCACCCAGCCATCTACCTTTATTCTTAAATGTAAATAGAATCAATCTATTTTTCTTGCTTAATATGCTGCAATTTTATTCAACTTCTTAAACTTTCTTTCATTATTTTTAGTGACCGACCAGTATTATTGTAATTTATTGAACTGACTCAATAAATTCAAATGAGCTGAAGCCAATTCAAACGGCTGAAATGTTTGCTATCATAAACCATTTCAATGAACATTCCTTAAAGCACAATCCTTTGTACAAACATAAGGACTTCCTTTGATAAATTCTGGACAAAGCTGCCTACTTAAGAATGTTGAGTCTGTCCAGGCGTGGTGGCTCATGCCTGTAATTCCAGCACTTTGGGAGACCGAGGTGGGCAGATCACTTGAGGTCAGGAGCTCAAGACCAGGCTGGCCAACATGGTGAAACCCCGTCTCTACAAAAAATACAAAAATTAGCTGGGTGTGATGGCGCACGCCTGTAGTCCCAGCTACTTGGAGGCTGAGGCAGGAACCACTTGAACCTGGGAGGGAGAGGTGCAGTGGCCAGATTGTGTCACTGCACTCCCTGGTGACAGAGCGAGACTCATCTCAAATAAAGATGAGCTACCTTTGCAAATCATAGTTGCCTTGGCTTTTTCTTCCGTATCTCTATCTAAGAACAGTGGAAGGTATATCTCTTCCAGACGGATTCAATAGACGAATAGCATCTACACTATGACTCATGGGATGGGGTCCTGAAGTGGAATCTGTCAGCCAGGCATGGTGGCTCATGCCTGTAATCTCAGCACTTTGGGAGGCCGAGGAGGGAGGATTGCTTGAGCTCAGGAGTTTGAGACCAGCCTGGCCAACATGGCGAAACCTCATGTCTACAAAAAATTAAAAAATTAGCCAGGCGTGGTGGTGTGCACTTGTGGTCCCAGCTATTCAGGAGACTGAAGTGGGAGGATCGCTTGAGCCCAGGAAGTTGAGGCTGCAGTGAGCTGTGGTCATGTCACTGTACCTCCAGCCTTGATGACAGAGCAAGAAACTGTCTCAAAACATCACCACCACCACCAACACACACACACAAGACTGCCTCCTTGGTACAGGGGAAGTAAAGGTAAATAATAAAATAACAAACGCTTGTACTTCTGCACTGAGGAAGTCCTCCCAAGGGACTATGAAGAATTCCGCAGCCTCAAATCACCACTGTGATTGGGGGAGGAAAATCTGCCCTAAATTCACAAAACCTTAAGCTGAGAATTTAATTTCGAGTGATCTCAATGGAAGCAAATGCCAATTCTCTCTGGAGGAACCTGCCTTCATTACAGACTTCCCCATAGATAAAATTCCAAGGAAGATGAGCAGCTTAGAGTAGAAAATAACCAAACATAAAGAAAACTACACAGCATGGGCAAAATGTACCAAAAGTGACAGAGGACACAAACAAATCTCTAAAGACTTTAGATAGGCCAGGCGCAGTGGCTTGTGCCTGTAATCCCAGCACTTTGGGAGGCCAAGGCGGCTGGATCACGAGGTCAGGAGATCGAGACCATCCTGGCTAACATGGTGAAACCCCGTCTCTACTAAAAATACAAAAAATTAGCTGGTCGTGGTGGCGGGCGCCTGTACTTCCAGCTACTTGGGAGGTTGAGGCGGGAGAATGGCGTGAACCCGGGAGGTGGAGCTTGCAGTGAGCCGAGATTGCGCCACTGCACTCCAGCCTGGGTGACAGAGCGAGACTCTGTCTCAAAAAAAAAAAGATAATAGAATTACACAATATATATGAAATGACTTTGCTTCATATATCTAAAGAAATAAGACACTGTTTCAAAATATATGCAGAGCATAACAAATTGTAAAGGAGAAGAAGCAGGGCTAGACACAGTGGCTCCTCCTGCCTGTAATCCCAGTGCTTTGGGAAGCTGAGGTGGGCAGATTGCTTAAGTCCAGGAGTTCAAAACCACCCTGGGCAACATGGCAAAACCCTGCGTCTACAAAAATTGGCTGGGTGTGGTAGTGCACACCTGTTGTCCCAGCTACTTGGGAGGCTAAGGTGGGAGGATCACCTGAGCTTAGGAGGTTGAGGCTGCAATAAGCCATGATCGCACCACTGCACTCCAGCCTGGGTGACAGAGTGAGACCCTGTCTCAAACAACAACCTCCCCCAGCAAAAAACAAGCAGATTTGAAAAAAAAAAAAAAAATAGAACTTTAAGAAATGAAAACTGTACTAATTAGGCTAGGTGTGGTGGCTCATGCCTGTAATCCTAGCAATTTGAGAGGCCAAGGCAGATGGATCACCTGAGGTGAGGAGTTTGAAACCAGCCTGGCCAACATGGTGAACCCCATCTCTACTAAACATATAAAATTAGCCAGGCGTGGTGGTGCACGTCTGTAGTCCCAGCTACTTGGGAGGCTGAGACAGGAGAATCGCTTGAACCTGGGAGGTAGAGGCTGCAGTGAGTGGAGATTGAGCCATTGCACTCCAGCCTGGGCAACAAGAGCAAAACTCCGTTTCAAAAAAAAAAGAAGAAGAAGAAGAAGAAAAGAAAAGAAAACTGTACTAAATGAAATTGAAAACCTTATGGAGAAGTTTAATAACACATTAGACCCAACTGGAGATGAGGCAAACAGAAGGCTAGAGCTGATAAAAATTATCCAGAATACAGCAAAGACAAATAGGTGGAAAAAACTGAAAGAGTGGTTTAGAGACATGAGGGGTAGGATGAGAAAGTCTGACACACATGTAGCCAAAATCTGAGAAGGGGCTGGGCACGGTAGCTGATGCCTGTAATTCCAACACTTTGGGAGGACGAGGAGGGAAGATCACTTGAGGTCAGGAGTTCAAGACCAGCCTGGCCAATGTGGCAAAACCCCGTCTCTACTAAAAGTACAAAAATTAGCTGGGTGTGGTGGTGCATGCCTATAGTCCCAGCTACTTGGGAGGCTGAGGCAGGATAATCACTTGAACCTGGGAGGCGCAGGCTGCAGTGAGCCTGGGCAATAGAGTGAGACTCCGTATAAAAAAAAAAAATCTGAGAAGGAAAAGATAGAATGGAGCACAGGCAGTGTTTGAAGTGACAATGAGAAATTTTCACAACTAATAAAAGACACTAACCCACCGTCCAAAGAATCCAAAATAAATTCACTCCTAGACACATTCTAAGATGTTAAAATGTCCAGAGATAAAACACATGTTAGCTTCAAAGGTGCAACAGTGTCTCACAGCTGACTCCATGAAAATAATCAAAGCCAGAAGTCAGTGGAAAGATATCTTGAAAATATCCTCTATGTGCTGAGGGAAACTAACTGTCACCTTAGAACCTAAACCCAGAGAATATACCTTCTATGAGTGAGGTTGAAATAATGACATTCTCGTCCAGGCGCGGTGGCTCATGCCTGTAATTTCAGCACTTTGGGAGGCCAAGGTGGGTGGATCACCTGAGGTCAGGAGTTCAAGACCAGCTTGGCCAACATGGCCAAACCCCGTCTCTACTAAAAATACAAAAATTAGCCAGGCGTGGTGGTAGGCATCGTAATTCTAGCTACTTGGGAGGCTGAGGCAGGAGAATCACTTCAACCTGGGTGGCAGAGGTTGCAGTGAGCTGAGATTGTGCCAGTGCACTCTGGCCTAGGCAACAGAGCAAGACTCTGCCTCCAAAAAAAAACCCAACATTCTTAAACAAGCAAACACGGCGTTAGCCACCAGTAGACTCTTAATTATGGAAGTTATGAAATATATAGTTCAGGCAGAAAGAAAGTGATCTCAGATGGAAGGTCTATGGAGAGCACAGAATAAAACAAGGAAAATAAAACAATAACTTACAGAGTTTACAGATAAACATAATCAAAACCAAAATGTTATGCTAACAGATAAATTGAGGAACTGAATGGAACTAAAATATTCTAAAGTCTTTGTGTTATACAAGAAACAAAGATATGAAAGGTAGACCTAGATAAACCAAGCAAGCATTTTGTAATTATTAGAGAACATGCCAAAAACAAAAAAAGTAGATTTGTTTTTTAACCTCCCAAATAGTAATGAGGAAAAAACAGAATGAGAAAAAAATACCCAGTTAATCCAAAAGAAAGCAAGGAATGAGAGAAATAGAAGCAGAACAGATGGGACAAATAGAAAGCATAAAATAAAATGGGAGACATAAATCTAAACATACCATGTAGTATAATAAATGTAAATGGACTAAATGCCCAGTTAAAAGACAAAGACTACCATCCTGAATAAAAAACAACAACCACAAACCACACAAAATCCAACCAAATGTTATTTGTAAGTGTTATTTCTAAAATGTAAAAATACAGGAATGCTTAAAGTAAAAAGATGGTGAAATATATATCAGGCAAATTCTAACAAAAAGGAAAAAGACCTAAGCTTTACATGTTACAGGGAACGTTTTCTGGCACACAGTTGGGCAATCTGGGGACAACTCTCAACTTTGTTCTGGTACCTAGTTTTGTGACTTTAGGATAAGCTGCTTCCCTTTCTGGGCCTGTGTTTCCTCACCTATGATAGGTAGATAGGACTACATAGTTGCCAACATTTTATAGGTGCAGACAGATACAGGTAAGACTGTGCAAAAAGGCTAAAGTAGTAATTCTCAACTGGTAGAGGCAAAAGAACATATCAGAATCAACCAGGGAGATTTTTTTTTTTTTTTTTTTGAGACAGAGTCTTACTCTGTCACCCAGGCTGGAGTGCAGTGGCCCAATATCAGCTCGCCATAACCTCTGCCTCCTAGGTTCAAGCGATTCTCCTGCCTCAGCCTCCTAAGTAGCTGGGATTACAGGCAAACGCCACCACACCGGGCTAATTTTTGTATTTTTAGTAGAGCCGGGGTTTCACCATGTTGGCCAGGTTGGTCTCAAACTCCTGACCTCAGGTGATCTGCCTGCCTTGGACTCCCAAAGTGCTGGGATTACAGGTGTGAGCCACTGCGCCTGGCCAAGGGAGATTCTTCAAAATGCAAACTACCCCTCTCCATATACACACCCATGGACATCAGAATCTGGGGTGATTGTGCTCTGTGTATAGAAACGCTCTTTTCCATTGACTGTGATATTGCCACCTACCTCCTCCCTCATCCTAAAGCACTGAGAATCTCTAAACAGGAAAGAAAAAGCTCTGGCATTAAGAACTGGGTATGCTAATTCTAATTCTCAATGTACTATGACTCCAACGGGAGCAGTGGAAAGAGAAGAGAAGTAGGAACTGTGGGCTGCGTACAGTGGCTCATGTGTGTGATCCCAGCACTTTGGGAGGCTGAGGTGGGAGGATCACTTGAGGCCAGGAGTTCAAGACCAGCCTGGGCAGCATAGCGAGACCCCATCTCTACCAAAAAAAAAAGAAAAACAACCAGGAACCATGGCCGTGTAGCTACTGCTGAGGGATCCCAACTCATGTCACAGCTTTGTGACATGAGTTTCCATTGGCAGGAGAAGCTCCCGGGCCCTGGAACTTTCCTGAAGCGTCCAGGGACCCCAGGCAAGACTATGGATATCATGGTACACTTTGGGGGCATCCTCAGTCTCTCTCTGGCGTTCATGGGAGAAATCCTCAACAAGCTGAAGGAGATCAATTTATTCACCCTTCAGTCCTCACTCTGCGGCCTCTGGGGAAGGACAGGAGGAGCAGGTGGCTCCTGGGTACATCTGCAAACTCACCCACATCCTGCTCATATCACTCAATTCATTTCTGTATCTCAGAGAGTCCTTCAGGACCTGCAGAGGCAAAAGAACAGCCCATGAGAGAATGGAGAAGGAAGGAAAGACAAAGGGAAAGAGCACGGAGAGAGGCGAAGGTGAACCTGGGGTGGGGGGACAGGCTGATGGGAGAGAGGTTCACCCACCTCTGATGGGGAACCCAAAGGCCAGGAGAAGGCGGCAGTGTGGGAGAGGACAGCAGCCTCCGTGGCCCAGGCAGTTACTTTCCCCACAAGGGTCCCTGGCTCCCTGCCACCCCACAGCCCTAGGAACTCACGTTCGGGTGTCCGTCTCGGAGGAGTTTATGGAACACATGGCAGAACTTCCAGCAGAGCACTGCGTTGCTAGACAGAGGCAGGCGGTTGACAACAGACCAGAAGGTCTGTGCCCCTTTCTCATGGTGGGTGCCCAGTATGCATGGTGGGGGGGGTTATGGAAAACAATGGCATGGGCTCTGCCTCCCGGGACCCAGCCTGCACCCAGCCACTGCAGGGGATAGAGGCTGCACCCAGCCACTGCAGGGGACTGAGCCTGCACCCAGCCACTGCAGGGGATAGAGGCTGCACCCAGCCACTGCAGGAGACCGAGCCTGCACCCACCCACTGCAGGGGATAGAGGCTGCACCCAGCCACTGCAGGGGATAGAGGCTGCACCCAGCCACTGCAGGAGACCGAGCCTGCACCCACCCACTGCAGGGGATAGAGGCTGCACCCAGCCACTGCAGGGGACTGAGCCTGCACCTAGCCACTGCAGGGGATAGAGGCTGCACCTAGCCACTGCAGGGGACTGAGCCTGCATTCAGCCACTGCAGGGGACTGAGCTTGCATTCAGTCACTGCAGGGGACTGAGCAGTTGTGCAAGTCATGGTTGGCAGTGCCTTGGAGGGAGCGCCGCTCAGAGCTAAGATACCATAGAACTGTACATTCATTCTGGGAGTTTTAGGGCAGATGGGAATACTTGTTCTAATAAAATCCACTTGAGTAGACAATTTCCCGAGACGCAAGTGTCTCGAGAGACAGGTGTGTCTTTTTCTAATTTGCACAAATACCCTGTAGGCCATGGTGGTACTGGGTTGCCCTTTCTATGAGAATGCTGAGTTGATGATGGCTCCTTCGGGAATAACTACAGCTATTTGTTGTGGTGGTTGAGATAGGGTCTTGCTCTGTTGCCCAGCCTGGAGTGCAGTGGTGTGATCATAGCTCACTGTAACCTCAAACTCCTGGACTCAGGCAATCCTCCTACCTCAGCCTCCCAAGGAGCTGGGGCTACAGGCATGCACCACTAAGCCTGGCTCATTTTTAAATTTTTGATAGAGATGAGGTCTTGCTGTGTTGCCCAGGCTGGTCTCAAGCTCCTGGCCTCAAGCAATCCTCCCCTCTTGGCCTCGCAAAGTGCTGGGGTTACAGGCATGAACCACTGTTCATGGTTCACTGGCCTTATGACACCTAACTTTTAAACAACATTTGAGGGCTTCCTCAGGTTCTTTCTGGTGCATTATTAAAAGTGAGGGTGTGCAGGATGGGCGCAGGGGCTCACACCTGTAATCCCAGCACTTTGCGGGGCCGAGGTGGATGGATCACCTGAGGTCAACAGTTCAAGACCAGCTTGACCAACACGGCGAAACTCCATCTCTACTAAAAATACAAAATTAGCTGGGTGTGGTGGTGGGTGCGTGTAATCCCAGCTACTCAGGAGGCTGAGGCAAGAGAATCGCTTGAACCTGGGAGGCGGAGGTTGCAGTGAGCCAGGATCACACCACTGCACTCCAGCCGCCTGGGTGACAGAGCAAGACTCCATCTCAAAAAAAAAAAAAAAAAAGTGAGGGTGTTCTTCCGCTCCTCATTAAGGACCTTGGTCCTTGCAGGGAATCCTGCACCTTGACCCCTTGGCTCCTCCTCCAGGCAGCACCTCCGGCCCCTTTCCATTTAGCCAGCCTTGTACTTGCCTTGACAGCAGCAATCTTTTGTCTAAAATGCACTTTCCGTAAACCTGAACACCCCACTTCTTCCGTAAACCTGCCTGGCCCCATTCAGGGGCACCTTCAATGTCTCCACACCTTGAATTCCCCATATATGGGATCCTGGAACCGCTTCTCCCCAGGCCTAATTCCAAACACACCCACCCCCTGCAGATAGTCGTCAGTTTGCATGTAATAAATGTTCACCAGGGTCGGGCGTGGTGGCTCACGGCTGTAATCCCAGCACTTTGGGAGGCTGAGGTGGGCGGCTCACTAGGTCAGCAGATCGAGATCAGCCTGGCCAACATGGTGAAACCCCGTCTCTACTAAAAGTACAAAAATTAGCCGGGTGTGGTGGTGCATGCGTGTAATCCCACCTAATTGGGAGGCTGAGGCAGGAGAATCACTTGAACCTGGGAGGTGGAGGCTGCCGTGAGCCGAGATCGCACCACTGCACTCCAGCCTGGGCGACAGAGCGAGACTCCATCTCAAAATAAATGTCCCTCTGGCCTCACATGATTTTAAGTTCAGCATTCTAGATCTCTGTCATTAGTGAGCTCTTTGTGGAGTGAAGGGAGAATTTCCACTTTTGTAATTGTGTGCTTCGACAAGATTCACGGACCCACCAACTGGGCACCGTCAGCTGTAAGGACAACTCTGTGCCCGGAACTTTAGGCTTTACTCAGCAAGGCTCAGGTCACAAGTGCGCTGTCATTTAGGGCAGAAAGGCTCGCCTCAGGTAGGAAACTAAATGACTCACCCGGAGCACATGTTATTTTGCTTCTGAACTGGAAAATACCGTAAAGCTCCTTTCGCCAATGACATTTTCATTTAGTGAGGGGTGGGCTTAAACAGATGTTTGGGTCTGGAAGCTAAAGTCAGCTTTTGATACAGGAGTCTTTCTTTCTTTTCTTTCTTTCTTTCTTTCTTTCTTTCTTTCTTTCTTTCTTTCTTTCTTTCTTTCTTTCTTTCTTTCTTTTTCTTTCCTCCTTTCTTTCTGTCTCTTTCTTTTCTTTTTTCCTTTTTCTCTTTCTTTCCTTCTCTCCTTCCTTCCTTCCCCCTCTCTCTCTTTCCCCTTCCTTCCTTCCTTCCTTCTCTCTCTTTCTTTCGTTCTTTCTTTCTATTTTTTTTTTTTTAAGACAGGGTCTCACTCTGTCGCCCAGCCTTGAGTACAGTGGCACAATCTTGGCTCACTGCAAACTCCGCCTCCCAGGTTCAAGCAATTCTCGTGCCTCAGCCTCCCAAGTAGCAGGGATCACAGGTGCCCGCCACCACGCCAGACTAATTTTTGTATTTTTAGTAGAGATGGGGTTTCCCCATGTTGCTCAGGCTGGTCTCGAACTTCTGGCCTCAAGATATCCGCCCACCTTGGCCTCCCAAAGTTCTGGGATTACAGGTGTGAGCCACCGCACCCCACCTTGGTGTAAGAGTGATTTCTGAAATAATTTTTGGTTTCACTTAAAGCACAGCCCCTGCAGACCGCAAGGAAGCAGTGAGGAGAGACCAGCAACCCCCAGCCTCCCCGTACTCCCTTCTCCCAGCGGACAGTGCTTACTTTTCCTGAGAGCAGCCTCCTAAACCGAAGCTGAGTGCAGAGCTAGCCGGGCACCCTGGCTTTATTTTATTAAATTTAAAATTAATTTTGTTAATTAATTAAGTTTTTAGAGACAGAGTCTCCTTCTGTTGCCCAGCCTGGTGTGCATTGGTGCACTCATAGCTCACTGCAGCCTCCAACTTCTGAGCTCAACTGATCCTCCCCGCTCAGCCTCCCAAGTAGCTAGGACTATAGGCGTGCACCAACACACTTAGCTAATTTTTTATTTTTTGTAGAGATGGGTCTCACTGTGTTGCCCAGGCTGGTCTTGAATTCCTGGGCTATGTGATCCTCCTGCCTGGGCCTCCCAAAGTGCTGGGATTACAGGTGCAAACCACCGCACCGGGCTCAGGAACCCTGACTTTGAAATGGGCAAGGAGACCTTTCTGGCATTCTTTCACATTATAAGCATTTTTATGCCCCAAGTGTGTGTCAAAGACTGTAAAATCCATTCAGGGAGAAAAAAAGAAAATAAGAAAAATAAAACTCAGTCCCCAGCCCTCCAGGAGTGAATACCAAGGTGGCGGGCCAACCTTTTCACCATTTGGGCATCTGTGATAAATGGGTAAGCAGCATGTCTGAAGTCAGACTTCCTAATGCTTATTCAGTTTGTATCTAAGGCAGCTGATAAAAGACCCGATAACGATAAATGGGCTCGGTGTGGTGGCTCAGCCGGAGGACTGCTTGAGCCCAGCTAGGAGTTCAAAACCAGCCTGGGCCATGGCGAGACGCCATCTCTATAAAAAAATAGCCAGGCATGATGGCGTGTGCCTGTAGTCCCAGCTACTCAGGAGGCTGAGAAGGGAGGATTACTTGAGCCTGACTGTGTCATTGCACTCCAGCCTGGGTGACAATGCATGACCCTGCCTCAAATAAATAAATAAATAAATAATCTTTAATTAGGCATTTCAAACCCTACTGTATGGAGTTGATTTTTCAACATTTATTCGCCATTTAGAAATTATGAATCAGAGACTCATAGAATGTTAGAGCTGAACTGTTAAATCTTTGAAATCTACTTTGTGTTTTTGAAACGGAGTTTTGCTCTTGTTGGCAAGGCTGGAGCACAGTAGCATGATCTCGGCTCACTGCAATCTCTGCCTCCCGGGTTCAAGTGATTCTCCTGCCACAGCCTCCCAAGTAGCTGGGATTACAGGTGCCTGCCACCATGCCTGGCTAATTTTGTATTTTCAGTAGCACAGGGTTTTACCATGTTGGCCAGGCTGGTCTCTTCCTGACCTCAGGTGATCCACCCGCCTCCACCTTCCAAAGTGCTGGGATTACAGGTGTAAGCCACCACCTCGCCTGGCCTGAAATCTTCTTTGTCCAACCTTTGATTGGACGGAAAGTGACCTAAGGCTCATGGAGGCCCCACTCAAGGTCCCAGAGTGAGCTCAAGAGTTCCAGTGGCGGGATGTCAGAATCTCCTTGCGGGGTTCCTTCCCTCCTCCCAGGGAGCCTCCCTGGCAGCATGTGACGTGACCCTGCCGCTGCAGGCCTGGCCTCTCTGCGCCCATGTCTTGTCCTGAACAGCACGCTGCCTGGTGACAACTGTCTCTCCCTTACTCATATCATTTATCAGATTGATCACAAATTATTTGTAGGTAAGGGTCAGGGCTGAGTCATTTCCTCTGAGAAAATCAACTGGGCCATTTAAAATAAAGGCTTCTCTTGGTTTGCTTTGGATCATCGCAAGGGTACCAAACGTGGTGCAGGAAAGCAAGGGGCCTGTGTCTTTCTGGGGGAAAAAAAAAAAGAGCAAGATCTATCTAGGCTTGCGTAGGACTGGACTTCTGGGTCACCCCAGACGGGTTCTGTGGCCCCCATGCTAATTCCAGCCAAAGCATCTTCCCACTAAAGGCAAGCTGCTTTCCCTCTAGCAAACAGCAGTTCACACACCACACTAAGCAATGCTGGGCTTCTCTGGCTAGCTAACCTGGAGGGTCGCCTCTAGGGGTTGAGGCCAGAAGGCTTCGGGACAAGCTGCTCTGGCCTGCCTGGCTGTGGCACAGCAACCAAGAGCCCAGGCAAGGAGGAGCTTCCCATTGTAGACAGAAGTCCAGCCTCCGAGGCTGGGCGTGGGCTCCAAGGCTGGGCGCGGTGGCTCATGCCTGTAATTCCAGCACTTTGGGAGGCCAAGGCAGGAGGATGGCTTGAGCTCAGGAGTTTGAGACTAGCCTGAGCAACATGGCAAAACCCTGTCTCTACTAAAAATACAAAAATTAGCCAGGGGTAGTGATACACACCTGTGGTCCCAGCTACTTGGGAGGTTGAGGCAGGTGGATCTCTTGAGCTTGGGAGGCAGAGATTGCAGTGAGCTGAGATCACGCTATTGCACTCCAGCCTGGGCGACAGAGCAAGACTCTGTCTCAAAAAAAAAAAAAAAAAAAAAAAAATTCCCAACTCTGCTTGCCCGAAACTCTACCTTGCTCTGGTGCAGCACACAGAGAGTTAAAAGCTTAGCCACCCCCCTGGCAGCCTCTCTCCTTCAGCCTTTGGGGATTAAGCTGTCCAGCTCCTGGATTCTGCAACACGAAGGCAGATCCCTAGGTATTCATCAGCCAGCAAGGTCCTGCGCCTCTCTACAAAGCCATAGGCTGCTCCTATGGGTGGTGGGCTTACAGAGGGCTTTTCAAGCCATCCATTTCCTAATCCACTTCAAGGCTCTTGCCTTCTCCCCTCTGGCGTAGGTTGAACCTGTTCACGAAGGTAGAGAGCCCCTGCCTCGGTTTAAGGCCAATCAACCTCTGAAGCTAAAATTTTCTTCTTTAGGCCAAGAGTGGTGGCTCATGCCTGTAATCCCAGCACTTTAGTAAGAGGCGTTCAAGACCAGCCTGGCCAACATGGCGAAACCCCGTCCCTACTAAAATTACAAAAATTAGCCGGGTGTGGTGGCATAAGCCTATCATCCCAGCTACTCGGGAGGCTGAGGCACAAGAATCGTGAGCCGAGAACATGCCACTGCCCTCCGGCCTGGGCAACAGAGTGAGACTCTGTCTCAAAAAAGAAAAAATAATACTCTCTCTTTTTTTTTTCCTTTCATGCTTAGAAAAGGAGAGGATTATTGATTATGTAACCCCCAGAGGAGTGGTCCCTGTGTCCCTGTGGGCAAAGAGAGGAACTGGAGGGCTTCGATAACAGGTGAAGATCCCTCCTGACCCCCAGGAGATCTCTCAAAGGAAAGTGACTTTCAAGTGACTTCGACATTCTACGGAGCTTGAGTCGGCCAGGCGCAGTGGCTCTCCCCCATAACCCAGCAATTTGGGGTGACAGAGGACGGAGGATTGCTTGAGGCCAGGAGCTTGAGACCAGCTTGGGCAATGAGCAATACCCCATCTCTACAAAACATAAAATAAATTAGCCAGGTGTAGTGGTGCACACCTGTAGTCCCAGCTACTCGGGAGGCTGAGATGAGAGGATTGCGTGAACCCAGGAGTTGGAGGCTGCAGTGAGGTATGATCGTGCCATTACACTCCAGCCTGGGCAACAAGGCAAGACCCCGTTTGGAAAAAGGAAAGAAAGGAATGCTTAAGTCTTCAAGGAAAGGAGCAGGATCTTTGGTAAGTTGAAAGGCCTGAGCTCCACGGCCTCTTTGGTGTCTGCCACTCGGAAGGTCTGTGGTCTCTGCAGCCAGCGCTGAGAAGCTGCCGTCATCAGAAGCTGCAGGGACCTGGCCTGTGCAGGGCTGCCCCTTCCTGGAGCTGAGCAAGGGAGCCTGGCCCTGACCTCAGTCCCCACGAGTTGACCTGCCTCGGGGTCGGTCTTCCAAGCAACATCCAAAAGGATATTTCTGGCATGTTTTTCCTTTACAGCCACTTCCTGCGTATTAATGGCCTTATTGATGCTGACAGTCTGAAAAACAAGAAGGGGGGAGGGGAAATGAGGATGAGATGAATAAGCCTCTGAGAGTGGCTGAGACCCTCCCAGATGCCTGCCCCTTTCTCCTCCTCCAGTCATCCTCCCCCAGCCCCATGGGTGGTCAGTCCCTCTGCAGGCGCCCAGCTGGGGGCAGAGGTGGGCAGCGCTCCCGGGAGTCAGCTGGCTGGGCCGTCCTGAGGGAGCGGGCACCGCTGCCTGGCATTGGCTGTGCCCAGCTGCTGCTCCCGCCTGCCACTCACTCCCTTGGCACAACAACATGGCAATTAAAGCCCGCACAAAGAGATGCTTTTCATCCCCCAAGCAAACATTATTTCTCCCGGAGCAGGAGGAAGAGGCGCAGAGATCAGGGATCGACCGTGGCCCAAGAGCATCCAGCTGCCCCTCTCTCCCCTCTAAACCTTCCACGGAGCCTTCACTGGCTGACCAGCACCGGCAGTGGCCACTAAGTCTTTGTTTTCCCACACTCTTGGGCATTTTCCAACTCCTAAGCAAATTCCCTTGTACTTCCTTAATGACATCAAATGACATTAAACATTCCCTCTCAATCGTTTTTAAAATTGTAACTCTCTCTTTTTTTTTTTTTTTTTTTTTTTTTGAGGAGTCTCGCTCTGTCACCCAGGCTGGAGTGCAGTGGCCCGATCTCAGCTCACTGCAACCTCTGCCTCCCAGGTTCAAGCGATTCTCCCACCTCAGCCTCCCAAGTAGCTGGGCCTACAGGCACCCGTCACCACACCCAGCTAAGTTTTGTATTTTTAGTAGAGACGGGGTTTCACCATGTTGGTTGGCCAGGCTGGTCTTGAAATCTTGACCTCAGGTGACCTGCCCGCCCCAAAGTGCTGGGATTACAGGCCTTGTGTTTTTTCCTTTTGAGACGGAGTCTTACTCTGTCGCCCAGGCTACAGTGCAGTGGTGCGATTGTGGCTCACTGCAGCCCCTGCCTCCCGCGTTAAAGCAATTCTCCTGCCTCAGCCTCCTGAGTAGCTGGGATTACAGGCGTGCACTACCATGCCCAACTAAGTTTTGTATTTTTAGTACAGACGGGGTTTTGCCATGTTGGCCAGGCTGGTCTCGAACTCCTGACCTCAAGTGATCCTCCCGCCTCTGCCTCCCAAAGTGCTGAGATTACAGGCGTGAGCCACTGCACCCAGCCAAATCATAACTCTTTTTAATTTTGCAAAGTGCATATACATAGCAGTACATTTGCACAAACACAGAAATGGGATTATACCATGTAGGCTGTTTTCTTAAGTACAGATTTTTTCCTTTTTCTGTTTTGATGTCATTCTATCCGTATAACCCATGTTAAAAACCTGTTATGTATCACATACATACACCCACACATACACATAAATACCTACATACTGAAGAGGTTAATTTTGCCATTGTTCTACACAAATTAGATTGTCATATATAGACTTCTCCACATCTCGGTTTTCTCACTTGAATATATCTCCTGGAAAATTCTGCAAATGGGCTGAAAAACCTCTAGTTTTTTTTTTTTTTTTTTTTTCCTGAGACAAGATCTTGTTCTGTCCCCCAAGCTGGAGTGCAGTGGCACAATCATGGCTCACCACAGCCTCCATCTCCTGGGCTCTAGCGATCCTCCTGCCTCAGCCTCCTGAGTAGCTGGGATTACTGGCGCATGCCACCATGCTCAGTTATTTTCTTTATTTTTGGTAGAGACGGGGTCTCGCTGTGTTGCCCAGGCTGGTCTCCAACTCCTGGCTTCAAGTGATCCTCCCACCTCAGCCTCCCAAAACACTGGGATTACAGGCATGAGCCACTGTCCCCAGCCAGGAATTATCTTTAAAATTTTAGGTGTGATAAATATGTTGTGGTTAATTTTTAAAGAGTTTTTTTTAAACAGGTTCATACTGAAATATTTACTGGCAAGATGATACAATGTCTAAGATTTACTTCAAATAATCCCGGAAAATAAAAAATTTGGTGGTTGATGGTATAGACTCACGGATCAGCAAACTACAGTTACAAGCCACAACCAGACTAGACTAACACCTGGTTTTGAAAATAAAGCTTATGGCCGGGCACCGTGGTTCACGCCTGTAATCCCAGCACTTTGGGAGGCCGAGGCGGGTGGATTACCTGAGGTCAGGAGTTTGGGACCAGCCTGACCAACATGGTGAAACCCCATCTCTACTGAAAATACAAAAAATTAGCCGGGTGTGGTGGCGGGCGCCTGTAGTTCCAGCTACTCGGGAGGCTGAGGCAGGAGAATGGCGTGAACCCGGGAGGCGGAGCTTGCAGTGAGCCGAGATTGTGCCACTGCACTCCAGCCTGGGGGACAGAGTGAGACTCTGCCTCAAAAAACAACAACAAAAAAAAACAAAAAAAAAACAACTTTGACCCGGTAATCTCACTCCTAGGAGTCTATCCTTTGGAAATAAAAACTTCTTTTTTTTTTTTTTTTTTCCTGTTTAGACAGTCTTACTCTGTTGCCCAGGCTGGAGTGCAGTGGCATGATCTTGGCTCACTGCAAACTCCACCTCCTGGGTTCAAGCGATTCTCCTGCCCAAGCCTCCCGAGTAGCTGGGACTACAGGCGTACGCCACCATGCCTGGTTAATTTTTATATTTTTAGTAGAGACAGGGTTTCGCTATATTGACCAGCCTGGTCTCAAACTCCGACCTCAAGTGATCCACCTGCCTTGGCCTCACAAAGTGCTGGGATTACAGGCGTGAGCCACAGCACCCGGCCAGCATTTTTTTTTTTTTTTAAGAGATAGGGTTTTGCTGTCTTGCTGTGTTGCCCAGGCTAGAGAGACTTGAACTCCTAGGTTCCAGCGATCCTCCTACCTCAGCCTCTTAAGTAGCTGGGACTATAGCTGTGCACTGCCACATCCAGCTGCTGTTTTTTAAATTCTCGGATATGTTCTTTTTTTTTTTTTTTTTTGAGATGGAGTCTTGCTCTGTCACCAGGCTGGAGTGCAGAGGTGCGAGCTCAGCTCACTGCAACCTCTGCCTCCCAGGTTCAAGCAATTCTCCTGCCTCAGCCTCCTTAGTAGCTGGGACTATGGGCGCACACCACCACATCCGGCTAACGAATATGTTCTTAAATCCACGTCTCCTTATATATTTTCTTCTCCCTACCAGACTTGACTTTTAAACAGTATAACCTCTGTTGTGAGTTGAATTGTGTACCCCCGCCCCACAAAAAGATATGATCACGTCCAAACCCTTCTCCCCGTACCTATGAATATGATCTTATTTACAAATAGGGCGTTTGCAGATGTAATGAGTTAAGATGAGGTCATACTGGAGTAGGGTCATATTACGGAATGTAACACGACTGGTGATCCTTGAAGAAGATGTAGGGATCCGGACACACGCAGGGAGGATGCTGCGTGAAATGATACAGAGACGAGTGATGCGTCTACAAGCCAAGGAATGCCAAGGACAGCCAGCGGCCACGAGAAGCTAGAAAGGATCCTTCCCAGCCGGGTGTAGTGACTCACACCTGTAACCCCAGCACTTTGAGAGGCAGAGGCGGGAGGATCACTTGAGGTCAGGAGTTCAAGACCAGCCTGGCCAGCACAGCGAAACCGTGTCTCTACTAGAAAATACAAAACTTAGGCAGGTGTGGTGGTACATGTCTGTAGTCCCAGCTACTAGGGAGGTTGAGGCAGGTGGATTGCTTAAGCCCAGGAGGTTGAGGGTGCAGTAAACCACTGTACTCCAGCCTGGGTGACAGAGCGAGACTCTGTCTCAAAAAAAAAAAAAAAAAGGATCCTTCTCTAGAGCTTTCAGAGACAGCATTGCTCTACCTTGCAAGATGGTGAGAGAATGCAGCCACTCAGTTAGTGGCAATTTGTGACAGCCCCAGGAAATGAATTACAGGGTCCTTTCCCCATCAGATGGGGTCCTCTGGGAGGACAAGAATGACATGCGATGCTTCCCCTACAGGACATGATTTGGGGCTCTCCTGAGCACAGCCGTTGGCTCTGCAGGGTGAGGGTGAGAGCAGTCAGGAAGGAATCTCTGGCCGGCACTTTGGGAGGCTGAGATGGGAGGATCGCTTGAGGCCAGGATTTTGAGATCAGCCCAGACAACATGGTGAAACCCTGTCTCTACAAAAAATACAGAAGTTAGCCAGGTGTGGTGGTTCATACCTGTAGTCCCAGCTACTAGGGAGGTTGAAGTGGAGGATTGCTTAAGCCCAGCAGACAGAGGTTGCAGTGAGCCGTGATCATCCCCACTGCATTCCAGCCTGGGCGACAGAGCAAAACCCTGTTTCAAAACAACAACAACAACAACAACAACAAAATGCAAGAAAGAAGTGACAAGTTGATTCCCCTAAACCTCTCCATGAAGCAGTACTTCTTCTCTCCTATGGAGACACAGTGCTTACAGCTTCCTCTTAACACATCCTTCTCTGGACCTTAGTCCTCAGTGACAGAACTGTCCCAAGCACTGCTGTCTTCTCTGCACATTTCCTCAAGTGCATTATGGCCGTTTAAACCATGTTCTTCCCCCGGGCACCATGACAATGGCAAGATTCTGGCTGCAGACAGACCCCTGGGCAAAGTCTCCATACTTCCAGAGTCCATCAAGGTTGCCTGCAGTCAGAAAGGACTTACAAGGCATATAAAAACGTAGAAGGACAAGAAACCCAAATCTGTAAGATGCTGACTTGGACATGGTTAAGTTCCAGGGGGTTTGGGAGGGCCTATAAGGAATACAGGCCGTGAGGAAGAGGACCACACCAGGTAGTTGGAAATGCTGGAAATGGGGCTGGATGCTGGAAATGGGGCTGGAAATGGGGCTCATGCCTGTAATCCCAGTACCTTAGGAGACTCAGGCGGGAAGATCACTTGAGGACATGAGTTCAAGACCAGCCTGGGCAACATAGTGAGCCCTCATCTTTAAAATTCCCATAAGCCACGTAAAATAATATACCATGAGTTTGTAACTACGGATCCTCTGAATGTGTGTGTGTAGCTGAGAATCAGGAAAGCT